AAAAAAAAAAAAAAAAAAAAAAAGAGTAAATGCCATCAAAGCAGATTAATACCTAGTAGTGCTGTATCCAATGTCCCCGTTAGCCATCATCCCATCAGCATAGCTGATCAGACACCATCGCTGGACGGCCCCTATGTCTTCCAGACCCTTAAGAAACCCTAATGCAGAATGATAAAAGGGAAGAAAGGAAAAAAAAAAAAAAAAGATTACACTAAGCTTCCAAAAAAGCGAGCCAACTAGAACCGACTTTTAAAAAAGGGTCAGAGAAAATAATAGGCCGAAAGAGTCCATTTCTCCAAGCCGCCATACAGAACGAATGTTATTGTGCTCCAAATACCATTTCAATTGCCATCAACAGAGGCCGCTGTTGCCTCTTCTGCTGCAACTCTCAAATCGTAGCTGAGATCAAAGCACTCGGCAAGGAGCTCACTGACACTGCCTTGACCTTCGGGGATATCGCCATTAACAACAAACTTGCCGTCCACCCTGAGGTTATCAAGAGAGTTGAGCTATTAGGAAAGAAAAGGAAATGTCAGCCTATTAAACAATCCTCTGCTTCAATATTGTAGTGCTCTGATGGTCCATACCTTCATGCTGTAAGGATACAGCTCTCTGACTGAAGAGACGCCGCCACTGTCCCTGACCTCGACGAGACATCTCTTGAGAGTTTGGAGCTGGTTATAGATGGGTAAAAGTGCCTCAGAAACCGGCTCTGAGGCTAGGATGAAAGAGTAAATGTAGGCGTAGCTTCGTCTTATCAGATACAGCATCGTTCGCTGCGTGTAGAGATCGGCTGGTCTGCCTCTGTCATCGTAGAAATTTCCGTTCTGCCGGCTTTCGTCAATTTTATCAAGTTGACGTTGGAAGTCATATAGATCTGTCTCGCGCAGGGCCCATGCTTGTGTCAATGATAGCTTCTCCAGCTCATTGCGAATACCGACCAGGGTGTTGTAGGTTGGGCGGAATGGCTCTGGCATGACTCCTTGTCTGCAGCAGATCGATTAGACGATGATCAAATGATACCCAAGGGTGCGTCTCTCAAGTACGTACCTCTCCAATACTATCTCCGACCACTTGAGGCAACGCTGATAGAGCTCTCCAGTCTCCACAGAACCTGGGGGAACAGATCCGTCTTCGGCGACGAATTGGCCATCTTTTCGCTTCTCTCCAATATCGAGGAGTTGCTTTTGAAACTTCTGAACTTCGTTGCTCGAGAACTATACAGGCCGAGTTGAGAATCTTATTCAGCATAATTTTGAGGGGATATTCATGTCGGTACATACCTTGGCCTTTGTATTTGCCAATGAAATGCATCGTATGATAGAAATCAACTTCTCATGCGTTGCAAGCAGAGGCTCTCCGATGCGTCCTAATCGCTTTTGGAGGTTCTCTAATGTAGCCTGGCACTTCTCCACTCGCTTTGATAGGAGCTCGAGGAGATATGGATAGTTCTCAGTGTTGTTGTCGCGGGTCTTTGCCTGGCTTATGCTTAAAGAAAGGTTTGCCAGCGTCGCCTTGATGCTCCCGAGATCCTTGGCCGAATAAAGATCAGCCTCGGTCAAGTGGTCCAGCAGTCTTTTGATAGTCGATGTTAATGCGTAGTTTGCGGGGATCTCGTTGTTACGTCCGATAGTAAGGTAGAATAGAGACAGCAGTTGGAAGCAGCTCTCCAAGACCTTGTCAACTATTCGTTTATACCATTAGTCTATGTCCGCTCTCACGCACGCTATCGAGAGTGACCGAACTTACGTCGATTTTCTTCCTTGCTCCCCGTCTCAGTACGGATGTCGTTGAGCTCTTTTACCCTTGTGATTGTCTCTTCATAGAGAGGGAGAATATCTTGGCTTCGGATATATGTGGTACGGTCCTGCTTCAGGAGCAGGAGCTTGTCGCGGACGACAACAAGGCTGTCCAGGATCGCCTGTTCCCGAGCATCCTGCGGCAGAGGTACAGCGGGGGTATCCATGCTGTGTGATAGGTATATGATAGGTATAGGATTGAAAGAGGATGGCAAAAGCTGCGCGATCACGCAAAAAAGCCGGTTATGTGATGGCGGTGGATATGTATCGTTGACACGCTTAATTCCAGATCTTCCGGGAACAGAGATATAGATATACGATCGATCCGGTGCCCGCTGCCGGGATTCGTCGGCCAATTGGTTGTCGTAAGTATCTAGGCCGGGGAGATTGTCTCGGGGATGCCGCGGCGCGTATTCAGAGCAACAGTTTTGTCTCGCAGAGTTCGGAAAAGAAGGCCAAAGGAGCAAGAAGGGTATTCGGAATCGCAAACAAGCAGAGAGTCGCAACTGCCAACCTCGCTGCCTTGGTTCAATGCGCTGGTGGGGAAGCTGAGCTTCAAGGTGGGGTGGCTGTGGAATGCGTTTGGATGAGTTCAGACGGTGACGACGTTGCGCAGGTCGGGCGGCCTCGCCCTGGAGCGGGTCTGCACACGCTGATTGGCTGAACCTAGCTGGAACCGTCCGCAGCCAATCAGCGCCGCACCCCGCTTGCGGCATCCGAACGGCACGCGGAATAACCATTGACCCCAGCGCTTTAGGTCTTCAAGCCCTCCATCCGCCGAAATTTCGACCAGGGCAATTTTTTGTGGTCCCTCTACAGCCTTTTGTGGTGATAATTGATTTGTCCATAACCACTACTCTCCTCTCGTGCAGACTTGACATCTTCCCATATCCGCACAGACAAATCTCACACAATGTCTAACGCCGAGCTCGCTTCTTCCTACGCGGCCCTGATCCTCGCCGACGATGGCGTTGAGATCACCGTGAGTGCTTCCAAATCCCCGTCGCCTTTTCGCTCGTCCGGCGCGGAAATCTCGAAAAAAATTGTGTCCCTCCGAGGGAAGAGGCGACATAACATATAAAACACTATGGGAATATTTCGCATGCTAAACGATTTTTTTTTTAACTTCTAGGCCGACAAGCTCCAGACCCTGATCTCCGCCGCCAAGGTCGAGGTTGAGCCCATCTGGACCTCCATCTTCGCCAAGGTACGAATTCAAGGAACAAACACAGCCTCGACGAAAAAATGAAAACCCGCCGAATGAGAAATTGAATTTTGGACGCTGACGAGTTATGGCTTTTCCCGCAATACAGGCTCTGGAGGGCAAGGACATCAAGGACCTCCTGGTCAACGTCGGCTCTGGTGGCGGTGCTGCTGCCGCTCCTGGTGCTGCCGCTGCTGCTGGCGGTGCCGCCGCTGAGGCCGCTCCTGAGGAGGAGAAGGTTGAGGGTGCGTACTGGCCGATTTACGACTCCCTCGTTGGAAATTTATATGCTAATAATTTTCACAGAGAAGGAGGAGTCCGACGAGGATATGGGTTTCGGTCTTTTCGACTAAACAGCCAACATCATCTGTTGCGGCGACTGTTTTCTCTATTGCTTCTTTGTACTTCAACTGCAGGGCACTTCGGAGTCTTTATACACATCGATGGATGCATTCAGGATGGAGTGGGCGCCTATATCCCGCGTCCTGGGCAGAGTAGCTTTTTTCATAAGGATAATATGATTAATGCTCTCACACGACGGAGTTCACGCACGGAAGGGACAAATGGTCAATTGAATGACTCGGGAAGAATAAAAGAAATTTTTTTGATCAATTCTTGAAAATTTATCTCGGTGACCTTGAAATTGGAAACGACCATTTGAGATTGATGCTCGTAATGGTGGACGCTATGTTCATCTAGTGGTAAAACTCTCAAATGTGCAACCCTTGGTTCGAGAAGAGCGAAAAAGGTGCTCCCGCGGTCAGCCTGCGTTTAATGCCTCCTCGTATTCCCCTCCATGCCGGCAGTTCCATGCTCAAAGGCATAGCAAGGCAGTCTATTTTACAATAACCACAGACGAAGGTGTAAGTCCAGCCTCCTTCAGCGTCTTGGACATGTCCAAATCGCCCTGGAACGTCTTGCGGGGGAACGTAGTCGTAAAGGTAGTCACCGGCTTCCCGGTCTCGCTCTGTATCTGTTGCGCAAGCTCAAACAGCGTCGTCTCGGCGGGGAGCGTCTTCATGATATTGCCCGAGTCAGTCTGCAGCTTCAGCTTTGCCTCTGTGTGGTCTGCCTTTGGTCGCGGGGCTGCGGCAGCAGCAGCTGGAGCAGCAGCAGCAGAAGAGGAAGATGCGGCTTCGGGAGCTCTGCCTTCACGGGCAGCTTTGGCCTCTTCGGCTTTGCGGCGACGCTCAGCCCTATCTTCTTCAATCTTGGCCTTGATTCGCTTCTTGGCCTCGGCTTCCTCAAGCTTCTCCTTGCGCTTTTGCGCGGCCTCCTTGATTTGTTCTTTTCGTGCAAGTTCCTCTTTTGCCTCCTGGGATTCCTTTGTGGATTTTTGTCGGATTTTCTGTGCACATGTTAGGGTGAGAGACAATAATAAAGATAATAGGGGATAGGTCGTCACCTCATTGCGCTTTGCATCTTCTTTGTCCTTGTCTGCCTGAGCGGCCTTCTTTGCCTGGAGTCGCTCTCTCAGCTCTTCAAGCTTTGCCTTCTTCTCATCTTCTGTCAGGGGTGCAATCTCCTCAGTAGACTCGGAGAAATCTGTGTGCTCGCTACTGCAACATTAGCACAAATGGCCTAGGCTGAGAAGAATAAGAAGTGTGAACTCATACGTCTTGGTAGCATGGTAACTGGCCAGATCGGGGTTTCTGAACCGTTTGCCGCATTCATTGCAGATAAGCGACTTGGCAGACTGGCCGGATTCCAGCTCTGCAATCTTTGCCTTGGTCTCATCCTCTTCTTCATCATCATCATCCGGAACCGCGGCTTGAATTTCCTCCAGCGATTTATCTTGGTTATCCTCTAGCCACTGCAAGGCTCCCTGTACTGTTGTGAAATTGTAAGTAAAGACGTGTAATGAGATGAGTCGCCGGAGATGCTGGAAACACGAGGCCACTTACGTCCTCCAGACTTTTTGACGGCGAGTTCGGCTCGAGCTCGCTCAAAGCCCATGTCAATCAGGGTATCTAGATCGGAAGCCATGTTTGCGAATCTTGATAGTTGGAGATATTGGGGATGATGATGTTGGGGGCGTGGCTGTGGATGATGAAATAGGCGTGAAGGCAATGAGCGAGTGTGGGGTAGAGAATGGCAGCAGCTCTCAGAATGGGAAGTGGAGTGGGGGCAGCGTTGAGAATAGAAGAGTCAGTTGAGCTGCCCTGATGATTGGGCTCTCAAAATTAGGTAGGAGTGATCTGAATTGGAAGAAGAGAGAAAGATAAAATACAGTGCACTGAATTTAGTAAGCGGTTGATTCAAGCTGGCTGAGCTTTGTACCTGATGTGGTGTAACTTGCAGGCTTTTAGGTACCAACCGCTACGTAGGTAGGTAGGTAAGATGGCGTCAACGCCACTGACCAGAGCAGCTGCATACATCGTGTATTGAACTTGCACGTTGGAACTATTGAACGACGTAAACGCTACGCCTCAGTTAATAAATGAAAAGATTGTTACAAGTCACAATAGAAGCAGGGTCATGCACTTTAATGGACTGCCTTGGAGTACCAAGCTTTCATCATGTGATGAATGTCAAGCAGTCAACACTTCAGGTTTATGTATGCATCATCTAGAGCTCTTTGGGAATGTCTCACTTAGAAAGCATCACACGATGCTCTTTGATGGCATAGCTAGTCAAATAACTGCCACCTAGTAGAATCATCGTGGTTTTTACTGCGCAACTCATGAAATAGATATTGTAGCAGTCATATCCAAGGGATTCAGGTGTTTCTGTCGCCCCCTGCACGGGCCAACGTCCCTGAGACCCGGCTTAGTCATGCCCGCAATCTTCACTCAGGCCAGCTCAGCCTCGCCAGCCAATCTCGATACAGGGGGCCAAAGCCGAAGCGACATGCCATCAATCACGTCTCCAATAACGTCTCCAAATCTCTTCTTTGTAATCAAACAATAGCTGCCCGCGTGCCCGACTCTCACCAAGCACACGCCTTTATTTCTCCCACGCCACTCTTGCTCGCATTATAACATTTTTTTTTTAACACGGGGCTCTTTTTCCCCTACCTCTTTCTCATTGTTGCGTGTCTCCCTTTTTTACCGTTCAGCTTAAATTCTATTTCCGCCGCGTTTCCCCGCCGTAACCAGCGCCATCGATCTAGACACGACGACGTCTTCTGCACCCGACCCTGGCTCGTCTGCCCTCGATCTAAATCCGAGAATCTCCCTACAGCCTCCTTCTAGCTCAGCAGCAGCTTGTTATCCGCCTCCTAATCCGCCATGTCGGTCGAAATCGAGCCCCTTGAGCTGTCATTTAGACGTATGTTTGTCTACGCCTTCTCTCGTGTCCATTAGGACACTTCGACGTCAGAATAACCGTTGACGGGTCGGCTATGCACAGGGCCCTTCACCGTCGAAGTCTCGCAGATCTTGAAGATCAGAAACCCAAGCTCATCGCCTTTGGCCTTCAAGGTACGCAGCTATGCAAATATGCCACCTTTAGCTTTTTCTTCTTTTTCTTCAGCTGTCTGCTTTGACCGACGCCTGCTTGTGGATACCTCCTGTTTCATCATGATCCCTGTTAACAAATGTTTCTCCAGGTTAAAACTACGGCTCCTAAGCAGTACGATTGACCCTCCCGTTGCGATGCTATGCTAGTTCGTTGGAAGCAAGATTTGACAATTTACCCCCCTATTACAGATATTGTGTTCGACCAAATGCGGGCCGTATCGAGCCTGGGTCGGATTTCGATGTCACTGGTACGTTGAGTTACTGCAGGCGAGCAGCAGGTCTCATTATGTGGCTGACATTGGCATAGTCCTCCTGCAGGCCATGAAGGCTGATCCCCCGCTGGATGCCAAGTGCCGAGACAAGTTTCTCGTCCAATCCGCTCCCATCACTGCAGACAAGGAATTCGCTCCCATTGCCTCAGTGGTAAGCCACCGCCTCTATAACATCGATTATTTATATATACATAACTAACATTCAAACGCCTGTAGCTCGAGTCCACAGACAAGGCCGCCATATATGAACGAAAGATCCGAGTCAACTGGCTTGCTGCCGGCGACAGCCCCGACCATGGTCCCAGTGCAGCTCACGCCATTGAGGCGACACCCATCAAGCAAGCAGCGGTGAATGGAGTGCGTAGAAACCTCCCCTCAGCCCCGGCTAAATTTGTCTTCATGCAACTAACAGCAGCCCAACAGGCTTACGACACTCCCGAGCCTACTCGAGCTTATTCATCTCCAAGCGGCGACGGAACCCCCGCACCACCCCCGTACGACGAAAAAGACGACGACGATTCCAGGCCCCAAACCGCAAAATCGGCCGCTTCCAAGACTGCTTCTGCCGTTGCCAGCACACTGCAGTCAGGTACCGACGAGCTCAAGGCCAAGATTGCCCAGCTTGAAGCTGAGCTGGCAAACTACAAGAATGGCGGCCTGAGACAGCGTAACGTCAAGGGCAGCTCGGGCAATGAGAAGGGTGCTGCTGGTGCAGTCGCTCAACAAACCAAGCAAGGCGTTGAGGGTGTACCCGTTCAGATTGCTGCCATTTTATGTCTCGTCAGCTTCCTTCTTGCCTACCTCTTTTTCTAAATTTTAGGTCTCTTTTGATAACGAGCAACACGCAACTTTGTGTTCCTTTTCCCTAAACTGATATAGGCGAGAGGCATGGGAGGCGAATCAATTATAGGGGTTACACCTGCTGCATTGGAGAAGCATTGCTGCCTAACACTGGATGCCTGATTTTGAAAATGATATGTGCAGGCAAGATTCAGTCTCGATGACGACAGGCAGGGCTTCTTTTGGGCGCATAATCATCACCATTCTACGTAGTGGAATGTGGGATAAAGGCGGCGCATTCACCTTAGGGGACGGGGTTTTTTGTTTTTTTGCTTGTACGAAAGTTGAGAAAGGAAAAAGGTTGTGCGAGATCTATGGAAAGGAAGTGCGCAGTAATGGGATTCATGGCATACTGTCCGTATATCTTGGGCAAAGAATACGGTTGGCTGTGGAGGAAGCAGGGCTCGCATCGCTGGTGTTTGACCTCTCGAAGCTGTTTTTGAGTGAGTCAAGCTTCGTATTGCGAGTTCTCTGTACTTTAACACTTTTTTTTGTCTTTGTTTTTTGTTTGTTTTTCTTGGCAATAGTTTCTAGTATCTGATAGGCGTGCCTTTGATCCTTCTTCTTCTTCTTCCCTTCTTGTTCTTCCAAGTCTTATTGATTAAGCAGTTTTCAAATGAGAATTATTGCCAGAGTCGCCGGTTGCAGTGGACAAGCCATCCAACAAATCCATCAACAAGGAACCACCATCTCAAAGCGAGAGCGATCAGTAATGCAGACACCTGATACCTCCAGCAGGTACAATAACCAATGTGCTGGGCTTTTTCGGAGGGATCATCTTCCCAGCTAAATGATTTGATGTTAAAGGCCAGACGCCTCTTGACGCATTGCCTCCTTTTATGTCTGCTTAATAGGACAGCCATGCAGCACATCAGGTCGCTCCCACAGGCCGCCAACAACACGGTGGGTGGTTTACAGCAGCGCGCTTGTTTCGAAAATCAAGCGCGATGATCCAATGAATCTTTAGCCGATGGAAAACGTCGCGAGTGTCATTGGAAAGCCTGGTAGTATGCTTACGGTTTGCCTCGGAAGTTGGCGGCCTCAAGCTTCATGAGCCCATCACTGAACATATCATCCCTTTGCGTCTTTATCTTTTCTTCCATATGAATTTTATTTCTCTTTTTTTGTATCATCATTCGTGTTGATATCTATTGATATCTATTGATATCTATTGAAGTCTACTGGTTTCTACTGGTCTCTATTCAATCTTTCTTCACTCCTTCTTAGTACTGGCCTATATATTCAACGGCCGAAATACAATGTCTTCCGCAACTTCTCTTGAAGAGTGTTGATGCCATCTGCTCCGGTACTCCCGGGCTATATCTCAAAACTACCCGAGAAAATCATCAGTATCCCTCTCAATATTACTGCAGATGCTGTTAAAACAGTAGCGGAAATAGGCGAAAAGGGGACGGCAACGTACAAGAACTACGAAGAAGCTAAAGCCGCGAGATGTCAGGCAGCGGTGTTCAAGACTGTCGACAAGCGGCTTTCAGGCCTGCTCAAGATACTCAAGCGCTACTGAAGAGCGGCAAAGAACGCAATGATGCCATTGCCTGTAGCGTTAGGCAGATGGCTGCCCGTTATGAAAAGCTGGTCAGCGCTCAGGTCAATTGCGCAGATACCGTGCAGCAGAGTGCCAGGGGCATCAACGCAGCCGTTTCTTCTTCGTGCAACTCTGTGTCTGAAGCTGCAAATGCCGTGCAGCGAAATGCGGAGAGCATCAATGCAACTTTGTCTTCCACAGGCAGATCCGTGTCTGAAGCCGCAGACTCGGTCAAGACGGCTGCGCAGGAGATTGTCCCCGAAGTCCACGGGGTTCGGCTCATGGCCAATTCGTTGTGCATAAGCGTTGCGACTATCGCGGTCATCATGGAGCAGATGGTTCTGGAGATTAAGAAAGTGAATCAAAACCCGGAGAACATCCGAGAGGAGCTCTGGCGCACCAATGTGCTGACTTCGTCTGGCGGTGCGGGCAAAAGCGGATTTGCTGAAGTGGTATATAACTTTGTCAACATGGAGGTTGGGAAGAGCCAGTATAAAGACGACTGCTTCTTTGTTTGGCATCCCGACACTTCGTGGCATCCGGCGTTTTATGCAAAGGTCAAGGAGGCGCCGCTGCCAGCCACCTTTATGGGCGAATCGGACTGTCTGGACCGGCTGTGTACTGCCATGAAGGCGATTCGGCAGGGTATGAAGGAGCAGGGCAAGGATCCTGAAAAGATACCTACTTTCCACATCTTGATTCCAGCTTGGTACAATCTCGCAGCCATGGAACCTGTTCATTTTCCGGATGAGCTTCTTCCTTTGAGACTAGTTGGACCAAAACATGATGGAGGCAAACCAGTGGTGCCATTCGTTCTTCCTCGACCACAGGCAGATTTAACTTTACAAGCAATTGGGAATAGCTTCGGGGAGAAGTTGCTTGATCTAATCACGGCGAAATTACTGGCGGGGACAATAGCAATGTCATCGGCCTTAGGAGGTACGGTTGCCGGGATGACAGCGGTGGCAGCATTGTTTACTGTTGCTCCTCCTCTGGGACTTGTGGCTTCTGTGCCCGTGATGGGCCGAAATCCGCTGAAGCGCAGGAAGCCACCCATTGCTCCTTTCTTGGCAAATCACGCTGAATGGCATTGGTCTTATAGGTTCGCTGTTTCTTTTGACTTGATCAACCAGAAGTCGTTCCAGTTTTGTGTATATCGTATTGCTTATATGCTTTTGGCTCATTGCCCGATATTGTTAGCTTATGGAGAACATGAGTATGCCACTTGAATTAGAAGATCAAACTTGTCGAATAGCAATAAACTTCATTTCTCATAGCCAGTCTAGAATATATATCCTTTATCTAGAGGTGTTATTCCGTCTAAGCTCATCCTGTGGTTTTGCCCATACCCCTTAGAACGCCCAAGGATAGAGAGACAGTGATTTTTTTTTTCTTTTTTTTTTTTCCATATCTCAAAAAAACCACGTATTACAAGATTCTAGTTCGCCCGAGCCAAACACTGAGCTCACCAAGCTGACTGTACAACATGTCACAAAACACATTCATCATTTTGACATTATCGTTTAGGCTTCAACTTCGGACTGCTTCCACTTGGCGCCACCGCCAACCAAACGGCCACCCTCCTTTCGCTTGACGCGGCAGCTCATGCCAACGTTTTCGTCCCAGATGAATCGCCAGATGGCATAAGTCCAGCTCTGATGGTGAGGCAGGGGCTCGTAAAACTCCTTGGCAATCTCATACAGAGAATGAAGTCGTGTCCAGGGGATAGCGGGGAAGTCGTGGTGCTCGTTGTGGTATCCAACATTGTAAGCAAAGATGTTGAGAGGACCATAGTATGAAAAGGTCTCGGGAAGAGGGACCTTGTTGTCGGGGTTGCGCTGAGTGGGGGTAATGGTCTCGTAGACATAGTGCTCGGCGATGAAGTGGCCAGCCAAGGGGTGCAGGCTGCCTGCCAAGAAGGAAGAGAGCAGAAGGTAGAGGAGGGCGTTGTAGGAAGTGAAGCGGACCAGGACGACGTCAAACGCCAGCTGAACAAGGATGTTGAGAGCGTGAACTTTGGTCAGGTCCACGCGGTACACCGTCATGGGACGGATGGCGTAGAAGAAGATTTGAAAGGTGCAGAAGAATGCCTTGCCGAGGATGGAGTTGAGCACAAAGGCCTCGAGAGCGGTGGGCAGGTCAGTGTCAAGGCCATCGACGCCGAGGGACTTGTGGTGAGTGAGGTGGTATGGCTATGATGGAGACCAGACGAGTCAGTATACAGTTTCCTAATGTCTTGTGGAACTGAAGCAAGTTTTGGCATACCCTGAAAGAAGCACTGTAGGGAATGCCAATGGGCAGGTTGGCAACAATAGCAATCAAGCGGTTGGCCAAAGGGCTCTTGAAGGCAAGATTGTGAGAAATCTCGTGAATGGCCAGAAACAGGTTCTGGTTCGCGGTGGCGCCAAAGATGTATGCGATGGCCCAGAACTTCAAGGACCAAAAGGGCGTTGATTGCAGGAGATAGGCGAGAACAACTTGAAGGCCAACAACGCCGGCAACAACATATTTCGTCAAGGGTTCGGGACCGCAAAGCTTAAGGACCTGGATTTGGTCATGTTAGCTTCTTTGAACCAAGCCTTCAAGTCGAGATAGAGAAGAGGGGCTACCTCGGGATGGGCTTTGATGATGGCGAGACGCCTCGTCCGGTGCGGCTCTTCAGTGTAGGTCCAGAGGAAGTCGTTGCCGTCCTGCTGAGGCGCAGGCGAGGAATTGGCCGGGGGAGTGGCCTCCTTGGTGGCCGTGGTGGCCGCGGATCGTGCCATTGGGGAGAATGTCTGGTATCGCAGCAGAGCAGAGCAGGAAGAATGGCAATCGATAGCTGGCAATGGCGATAATAGCAGCAGCAAGAAGACGGTGGCGCGGAAACAAGCAGCCTGCAACTATAGCGATTGTATCACCACTGCCAAGACTCCAGTTGCGAGGAGTTGAGATGCGAGCGTTAGAAATAGTTGGTCGCAGCTCTGGCGTGTTTGATCTGCCAAGTGGGCTGTTTCGTAACATAAAGGCGGTGGGTGTCAAGGCGTCTGCGAGGTACAGAACAGTACACGCAAGCAATTCATTGTGGCGGAAAACTGCCCCTCGAGAGAAAAAAACACAGGTACCGCCACTCACTGAACCACCTATAAATGCGGGGAGAGCGCTGTAAAGGGAAGAAAAAAGCTTGTCTACTAGCCGAGAGAGGAAGTGTCGGGGGGCTGAGGCGCCAATCAGAGAGCTGGATCGAGCAGGTGGTGCGGATGGATATGCCTCGGAGCCGAGAGCTGGAGCGTGGTCTGATCTGGAGAGCTGGTGGACATGATGGTACAAGTAACATGATGAGCTAAGAATATAATATAGGAATAGAGGTTGTATAGATGAGAGAATAAGTTGGAGCAGATGCATGAAATATAGGAATGAGAAGCATTGTATAAAGCTACGCAGCTACCTACTACTAGTAGAAACCTGTCCAGTTGACGATCTTTACTGCAACATGGAGCCGAGTTTCAGCCCACTTTGGCGGAGGCACTACTCTGAAAATAGCATCTCGCGGATACACAACACCGTTACCCGGGAGCTGAACGAATATCGCTGTTGAGCTGAAATTTTTTTTTTTTCTTGGCTATGCGTAGCTTGACTGGTTGCTGGAATTGAGTATATTGCTTTAATATCTTCTAGGGAAGGAAAAAAAGAAGGGGAAAGACTAACGCATAAGGGCTTCACTGCGGTCAACATGTGTTTACTTTTCCATATTTAAGTCGACCTTTCATTCAATTCAAATTTGACGTCCTCGTCATCATACATTCGTCACGCACTCACAGTTATAGCTGCAACTAGGGCGTGGTCTCTACAATCTTCTACGCTACGATACTTCATCATATAACTACCTTACTAATACTTACGCCAATTATCTACGACTTAGGCTGTTAGTTCTTACACGAAAAGACATCGTGTGAGTTAGGAAAAAGACCGCCGTGCATTTTGCAGGCTTTTGCATCGTTCTCTCCGAAAATCACTTTCGCGAGAGACGTAGTGAATATTTCGACTCTCCGGACTTCGTACCTCGGTACGCGGCTCAACTATGTGCATCCATCCATCCCCCTGGAAGAAAAAAAAAGAAAATACAGTATGTATACGAACAATATGTTTATACGCTTCACAATGCCGTCTCGTTAGGCCAAACTTTGGTTTATATGCCTCTCCTCTCTTCTCTTCTCGTTTGGTATCAATGTCTTCTCCCCCCTCTTCTCATAATTCGTGAATTTACAGCCCGTTGCTCGCGCAAGAAAACACGCCGCCCACTGACCCAGAGTCATATGCATCGATGATACTCTGAACGCTAGCGTACGTGCCCGCAGAGAGGAAGAACACCCCCATGGCGATGATGAAGATGTTGACGCCCGTTGAAAAGGCCGCAGTGATGCGGTTGCGCTTTCGACCAGCCTTTTCGTCAACGCTTCGCATACGCAGGTAGGCAACGCCCCAAAAGATGAAGCCGAACCAGCTGTCGAAGAGGGATGACATGACAGCCAAGACTATGAAGAGCACTTTTGTTAGCATGGTATTGATGGATAGCAGTCACGCTGAGTTACAAACAACTTACGAGAGTTAAAGAAGGGAATGACTTGGGAGATGATGAAAGCAAAGATCCAGGTAACGAGCAGGATGCCGAACCAGCTGGCCCATCCCACAACAGTGTGGCTGTTCATGTGGACCGAGTTGCGGAAGACGCGGAAAAAGACGAAGCGAGCCGTTACTGAAGCATACAGGCATCCCAGGAAAATCAGGGTCGGAATCATGAAGGAGAAGGCAGCCTTCTTGTAAACGTCATCCAGGGATCCAAAAGCAGGAGCAGTCACATATTGGTTGCCAGTGTAGGCGTAGATGACACCACCAACAACAGAGAAGACGATGATTTCGGCAATGGTGCAGGCCCAGAGCGACTTGGGGAATTCTCTGCAAGTGACTCGATTAGTATACACTCTCTGGAGGAAAGGAAATGGGTTTAGAATTGCTCACCTAGGATCTCGCATCTCAGCAATGAAACTGGGGAGCGTAATCTGGCCGATAAAGGTATAGCTGATATTTAGAAAGGCGCCCATGGCGTTGACGAATGTGGTTCCCTTGACTGGGATAGCGGTAACAATTGGCGATCCCAGGGCCGCGGAGAAGCCCGCAGGCTCTTTCTGGATGGCCTGAAAGATGGTTGCCAGCAGCACAGAGATGAAGGTGAAGAAGGCAGACGCCGTGCCAAGCTTGGACATCATGCTAAACGTGCGAGGCAGCGAGGCGATCAAGCAGATGACGGTGACGACGACGCTGAAGACCACGGTGCGGCATCCGCCAACGTGATCGGCCGCCGTCATGGTGTTGAGGTACTTTGCGCCTACCAGAACATGCAGGGCCTGGATAAACGTGTTGTTGAGGACAAACATGATGGCGGTTCCCCACCACGCCCATTCCTTGCCCCAGAAGAGCATCTGGCCAATGTCGCACACGTCGCGCACCTCTGGATGTCGCAGGCAAAACTCCCACAGGATGAGACTTGTGTAGAGCACAACGGCGGCAACGAAGACGGTCAGGATCAGGCCCGGGACAAGGCCCAGCACGCTGTACGACCAGGGGAAACTCATAATGGCCAGACAAATGTACTCGCTGAAGAGCAGCGCGGCCGTCTTCTGCCACGAGCAGGTCCGGTACTGGATCGAGGTGCCATCTTCTGACGCGAGCTGTCGGTTGAGGATTGCTTCGCTCGACTCCTCGCCCTCAGAGACGTCGTTCTTGAGATATGCGGGCAGCGGCGCGATGCGAGGGCCAACCCAGACGTTGGAACCGCCGAATAGAGAGGCAAAGCGCGAGAAGCCGCTGGAGTGAGACACTGTGGCCTCGAGATCGTCCGGCTCTGTCTTGAATTTCTCAGACATGGCTGCGACAGGAGAAGAATAGAATGGGGGTGACAGAAGAAGAGTAGGAGAACAGATGTGCTAGTATATAATAGCAAGATTACTCTTTTTCAGATCTTAACGGAAACTCCAAGGAACGAAACAGGAATCAGACATCAAGCCAGACTCCACTATGCTATGCCACAGATATACGGGACAAGAAACTCTATGATGAAGAGGAAGAGGACGAGATCGAGGATGACGGGAAGATGAAGAGAGCAGGATGGAGCGTCGGTGCAGCGAGGGCCCGACAATATGTAAAAACGGCGATCCTTCCCAGCAGTAGCACGTTGTTGCTCCCGCTCCTGGTCCAATGAGACGGGCTCGCAAGCAAGGTTTGCAGCCAGAAGGGCTCTTAGCGGCAGGCCAGCGCAGGGATCTCGCGAGCACGTCAACCGTGGCGGTCATGTCTGCAGAATCGAACCGAGAGCGAGCCATGGGGGTTAGGGGGCCCTCCTTGGCTCTCTCTCCCAAGCCCGTTTTCCAGGCAGCCTCGAATTGTTTCCTCACCGAACGATGACGTTATTTCGATCTAGCGGGCCCCCATGCTGGGAATGGGGACAGCCTCCAACCCGCATCACGACGAATCCTGTGGAGTCGCATCATTTTTTAGCCCAGAAAACCTCGCGGAGCATTCGAGCCTTGCGGTCTTGGCTTGGCCACCACCCGAAGAAAAAAACGCTCCGCAGCGAGTCGTATAATTTGCCGACTGATCCGCTTTTTGGTGCTGCGGCGTATTGGAACAGGAAAAGTGGACGATGGGAAAAACAGAAAAGAGGCGAGGAGCGATAAGATCTTCGCAAACGGACTTGGGACGAGTCGCATTCCAGCTGAGGGACGGCTCTGGTTGCGTGCTCAGAGAGAAACTTGACAAGGGACGAATAAATCAGGAGGGGCAAAGTGGAAAGCCAGGGCAGAACCTGATTGGGCGAGGGGGCGAGTCGGCTCCTCGGTGGCTTGTTCTAGGTGAACTCTGCAGTGTCTGTGCCTTTTTGTCTGCTGGAGCGGCCACCAGATCTTGATCTCAGCTACGCTAGTGCCTGAGAAGGCGGCTTTTACTCTTGTCGCCACGGTGTGCCGTAAGAGAGTGTGTATGGATTGGTAAAGCATCGGTGCCATTGGCTCACTTGGAGTCGTTCGAGTCGTTCGGGTCGTCGAAGGCGAGTCACTTGGTCGCATGGTTTCCCTTCCATGGCTTCACCGATACCTTGTCTGCTTGTCCTAGGCTGGAGTTTACGACCGAAAATGCACCGCGCAGATAGCGATTGGGGCTTTCTTCTTCTAGACTCCAATAGACGCGAATAGACGCGAGATACTTGTTCAATAGAGGTTAAGGCGAAGAGGCAAAGAGGTTAGCACGGCCCAAGTCAGAGATAGATTGAGAGATTCCTGCACACGCCATCGCCCAGGCGCATCGCGCAATCTGCGAAGCCGGAGCTAGAGATGGCCAGATTGGGCAATTCTAGTGGTTTTTAAGCTTATTTCAGTACGTACCCTCTAGGCACCACCGTTTTCACGTGCTTGTAGATACAACGACTGAGATATCGGGTCATCGTATCGATTTAGCTGAAGGGATTTGCATTGCTTTGTCGCTTTGGCTCTCGGAATGAGATTTCTTTCGAAGAGGGATAGACTGTTTCTGAAATTGACCCGCAGTGCAAAGTGGATATGCAGCCTAGGGAATTTGATAATGGCAGTGACAGCGAATGCTGAGCACTGCCAACTGCCATTCTACGCGTTCAACACCACACTCACCTTTGTGATATTGCCAACTGAGGCTTCGAATCACAATATCTTTCTTCTTTTTCGCCTTTTTCTCCTTGTTCCGCACAACTTGAAGAAAACAAATCACCAGGACCAAGTAAACACGAGGAAGCAAAATAGAAACAACCAAAAACAATTCGCACAACTGGCAAAAGGGTTCGGTGCTGGCCCCTTTCGGGTTTAGCCAGCACCTACGTCCCTGCCGATTGTTGTCGTCGAGAGTCGAACCGTGTTGTCGTCGGTGTTGTCGTCGTTCCCGTCGATCCCCAGAGGAGGCAGTTTGACCCGACCGTTGCACCACGGCGCCCCTGCCTCCCCGACTACAAGCTGCATTATCGTCGGCTATAACACTATGGTTGCTGTTTGGCAGGCAGTGGCAGTGGCAGTGGCAGTGGCAGTCGTCAGTCGTGAGCTGCGAGTGGCCAGCTGTCCGCTGCCCGTCCTCCAACTGTGAGAAAGGAGCGGTGTAAGGGCAGCCAGGCGCTGTATCAGGGCCCGAGAGCGACTATGAGGCGTATATCGTGCTAATGGCCGGTATGATTGAGATAATATGGCTCTGAAGTACGCTGACATAGCTCAGAGTAGATCTGTAGCTGCTCCAGACAAATCGAGAGGTCCATTTTGTGATATATCAACAACATCCCAGTTGCCCAGCGTCGGAGGATATGGGTGTAGACTAGATGGGAACCATCAATCAATAGCACATAACTTCCTGGATCTGGTACCGAATAGAGAGAGAGCTCTAAGACAGTACGCGCAGCAGTGCTGGTTTGGTCCCTATGTGCCGCCCAGCTGGCTGCCGTGAAGAGGGCCCATCGCTGCACTTGCAGCCCTTTTCGCCAGTGTCAAGATAAAAGTGGACGGTTCCAGGTCAAAAAGGCGCCTGCCGAGTAAAGAGACGTCGCATAATTGAGACAAGCGTGTTTCCAGGCCATGGATAGCCGTTGGGCATCTATATATCGGAAAATAGACAAATCATCACGGATCCAGGCAACAGAAAAGAAAGAATAAAAGTCTACAATGAAGGTGTCCGTTGGAAATTGGTGTCGGATTAGATGGCGCTTGAGGGCAAGCTACTCCCGAAGCGGAAATGGGCTGCCCTTCGCGGACTGGCCGCACCGATAAATGCATGTGGATAGAAATACATGTAGACATGTACCTTTTCAGAACGCAACACCAGAATACCAACTACATGCATCTGCGAGATGGAAATTGTTCAATTTGGTCAAAAGTGATCTGTCTCAAATCTGCCTCAAGAATATTTTGTTGCTGGCAACTGAGCGACGTAGATCAATCGAGCTCTACTTCATTTACTTCATCTATCCACCATCGTCACTTTCACGCATCCTTGACCCATGATTCAGCCATTGTCCAGAGTTTTCGAGCAATAGCCGCTTCCTGCGCATATCTCGGTACCTCTTTGATCTGGCAGTCGTCAATGTAGGCTCCCGGATGATCTATGAGATCGTCAGTCATATTTTCTCTTGTTAGCGTGACAAAAGCAGCGTACCTTGCAGATTTGGATCCAAAGCAGCGACGAGAAAGCTTGCAACTCCCTGGCTTGCCGTCTTGTATGTCATGTTTGGATTCCGAAACTCGCTTGGGAGGTGTCTTTGCAGTTCAGTCAGGACAACTAATTAGCGAATGTCAGCATCCCTTACATCATCAGTCCATGGCAGAAGCAGAAGCTGTCTCACCTCCCGGCGCAGCGCTGACCGCTGTGACCCTTTCTCCAGCGTAGCCCTCATTCAGACCTTTGGTCAGAAGCATCAATGCTGTGCTGCTTTGGGAATAGGCTAGGAAGGGGATGTATCCCGTGCCGGCATCCTTCACCCATCCCATTCCGAGCTTTTCTGCACTGTCAAGATCGACTTGCTCATCTAGCGGAAGATCCTTTCCTCCATCAAAATTGTAGTCGCTGAAGCGAAACGGCTGGACGTAGAATCCGCCGCTAACGATATTGACAACTCGTGCCTTTGGCCCCGCAGCCTTGAGCTGTGGAGATAGGAGTGTCGTGAGTAGGAAATGACCAAGGAAGTTTGTGGCCAAGTGGGCTTCTATTCCTTGTTTTGTGACCTCTCTCTCCGGGATGGCCATAACTCCGGCGTTATTGATAATAACGTCAATAACGTGTGTTAGTTCTTGGATGTTGGTTGCTGCTTGGCGAATGCTTTTCGACTTGGACAAGTCTGCTTGCACGACATGAATTTGTGTCTTTACTGCTGCGTGCTCATCCCGAATAGCATCGGCCACGGCGGAAGCCTTTGAGACTGTTCGAGCCGTGAATATCAAGCTTGCCGGGCTGTACTTGGCGAGAGCCTGAGCGGTTGCGGCTCCAAGGCCATTGGGGCTCACTCCGGTAATGAGAACTGAATGGATATATCAGCACAGATCTTTATAGCAGAGGATGAATGAATGTGTTTCTTACTTGTTTTTCCAGTAATCTGGTCGCGAAAAGTAGACGCCACCTCTTCGGCAGTCGTCTCTGCCCCAAAGTTGCTGCTCGAAGTCATGGTGCTCTATACTGTGCATAAGTACAGCTGGATGTATGCAATGTGTTCTTGGCATCTATTGAATGCCACAATGGGCCATATTTATATCTCTTTCGGCAGAGCACAACCTCCTCCAGGTCCTCAATATCACCGAGAGATTGTTACTATCTCCGCCTTGAAAGCCAATCTTGCATGACCTTTTTAGGCAAAGCCAGATCGGAAAAGTGGCTTACAGCTGACGGAGTTAATGCACGATCGATTGCCTGCGCTAGCTATCCCCACATGGCAGAAGTTTGTAAGCCTCAGTCATGTTGTGCATCGTTTATTCGTACTTTACGCCAAATGGGCAGTGAAGATTTAGGGAAACAGTTGATTCATGGCCTTTTGTTAGCATTTGATATTGGAACAAGCAAACAATTCGGCCAATTTCTGGCTGGTGAGAAATAAATGCTGTCTGTCATCTTAGCTAATACATGTACTTCCTTGCTTTAGTTCAAAAACCATTATACTGTATAAGTGAAGCATCTGAAAGTGGAAGTATGTTTATTAATCAATTATGATTGCGAAAGTCTGCAACCGAGGTATATCGTATTCGACTCCTTTCAAGGCTTGGAAAAGCTATGGAGGACCATCCTGCTTGAGAGCTCCTTCAACCCATTGCCATAATACATGGTTAGCCAGGAATGCTGGATTCATCTCCGACATCAGCGTCAGCTTTCTTGCTATTGCAAGAGCATCGGAACTTGCACGTCTGGTAGAAGATATAGCCATTCGCTCCTGTTCTTGTATCTCTGTTGTGGTCATGTCATCTTCTTGTAGCTCGGCAAGCAGTTTCTGGTTCTCGTTACTTTTGGCTCGTTCATGAAATAAGTAGAGAATATCCTTCTCCTCAGCGCCCGGTTGATGTGTGAGCTCGAACAATCTTCGAAAATGCGCATAATCATTCTTTGACAGCAATCGAATAGTCGAGAGAAGAACCACATATTATCCGATACCTGCTAGAGCTTTGAGCGGGAAAGTTCAAGGCCTATTCTAGTAGATCGTTGGCCAAAGCTCGCTCGGAAAGCAGTAGTGAGAGATTCTGAGGGCGGTCTAGCCGAGCCCCCTAGTCCTGGAGTCGCGAGCAACTCAGCGATGGGACCCGTTGACGTCGAACTCCAGTCAATAATACATGTGATGTTGAGGTCGTCATCGACATAAATATTGCCAACATGGAGGTCCGGGTGAGACAGGGTAAAGCTGCTCTCAAAGCCTGAGATGAGGTGGGGGATCGTCTCGACTAAGAACTGCCCTGCAATGCAGTAGAGAAGTCTATTTCTGCTATGATCGATCTTTTGGCCAATGGCCACAAAATCATTCCAGCGCCGTGATGCCATCCTGTAACTATCTGTAGTCTTGTAATGCAAGTTATCAGGAATTGGAGCATAAAAAATGTGTGGCGCAAAGGGAAGCTCTCGAGCATGAGACGTGAATGCTGATATGAGTGACACCAAGTAATCTTGTTCTTGATGAAACGGTCCTCGGTCTAGGTCAAGTGAGTCTCTCTCTTGCCAGGTGAGGCACGGTGAGAGGCATTCACCAACGATATGATCTCCGCCTCCATCTTTAATTAACGAACCAATTTTGGCAAAGCGATAGTCAGATAATTCTGCCATGATGGACCCAAGCTGATGCATGACTTTGTTTCGGCCGTCGTCGGATATGGGCAAAGGTGGGCGAGGGTTTCGACTGCCGGTGAATCGATGTGGACAATTAGACCAGTCGTAGGATCCTAATGAACGACCTGCGGCTTTGCTCTGAAGGATATATGGCACGCCAATGCTGTTGTCGCTGGTTCCATTGGGGCGATTGTCAAGGCTTGGTTCTTCTAACGAGGAAGCCTACGGTACTTGCCTGTAGGAGTAGACTTCAGGTACTGAGATTGACGTGTGGGCTTTTAGGTACATCAGCGCGGAAGCCTCACTGTTGACTATCTTGGAAGAGGTCTCATCCGAGTAAATGCTGTTGCGACTGGCCATTGGAGATCGAAACACCCACTCGATGCCGTCGTCGAAAGTCACGAAAACGACCCAATTTAGGCTGCCGCAATTGGGCATCTTGGTCACATCGCAAGTGCATTTTCGACCGCGGAGTTGCTCTGATAGGGAAAGAAGTGCTTCGAGGTTGAAGTCGGCGAAGTGGTAAATTTTATCCTTCACCATTGTCAAGTCTCCGAGTTCTTTGGTACAAAATGCGAGTGTGGGTGTTTAGTAATAAACACATAGTATACAAAATAATAACGACGACGTGGTAACTACTTACGTATAGCAGGCACTTAGACGAGCTTAGAGTTTGGGCGGTTGTTGAGCCCAACGCATGTAAATGCTAACCTAAGCGGCTAGCTGCTGCCAAAACCTTACATCAGGCAGAACAAGAAACGACACGCACTCCTACTTGAAAAAGAGCCTCTCGCTACGAGATAGCTTCAATTCATGCCCGTTCTTTAGGAGTCTGGCCTGGAAAGCAAGATCAAATGATTCATGACCCTGGTTGCGCTTCACAGTACAAAACCGGTGGCAGAGCACATGCAAGCTTGCCGGCGATAACAATAACCGTTGCTTGGGAGTGACATCAATCCAAAATAACGAAAAGGATAAAGACCAAGGGCCTCTTAAATTCTTATTATTATGTAAGTATAATAGGGAGAAGTTCATTCCGACGAGCCTCTAGCGATATCTACACTCTGGATTCGTCGGAACTGAATTCCATCCAGTGTATGAGGAAAATGATTTATTTCGTCACGAGAACAGAATATTACTAATTATAGCTCTACATTCAGCTTTTTATTCGAGACTCACTGCTCGTCTTCGCTGTAAATGCCGAAAGTGTTGGGTGGTGTCCATTCCGATTGGTGAGCCGAAGCGATATAGACGAGCTAGACGATCGGAGCCAGCTCTTCCACTCCTCGAAGAGCCAGTAAAAGCTGCCAGTTTGCACAGTCATACATATCTTGATTGAAAGTTTCGGAACTTATAACCATGCGCGATCTCGCATGATCTCATCACTGTCTCCATTGGTGTCGTTGAAGCCTCCTCATTCGCAGAGCTATTTGGCACCTATCTTGGACTGATGTTGGTTCTGGCTTCACGTAGTTGACGATTCCAAATATTTGTGGAGATTTGATAAAGCCAGAAATGAATGATGTGTGAGTTAGAGACATTGCACTTGTCAAATACGCCCTTTTATATCTAAATAAATCGTTAATGTGAAGATGGTAGCGAAAGCAGCTTATAAATAAGAGGTTGTCCTGAGGGCAATTCCCTTAGAACCTTCGGAACGGTTCTAAAAAGGGCTTCAAGACTTTCAAGTAGTCACCCATTCATTCTCCAACTTAAACACCGCTTGAAAGACAGACTTCAAACTCGCCCTAGTTTGAATCGAGATGGCGGCAGCGAAGAGAGTCGTGACCGTCGTTGGCGCAACCGGCGCTCAGGGGGGCTCTGTCGTCGACCACTTACTCAAAAAGAAGTCCCAAGATTACACCATCCGTGCAGTAACTCGATCCCCCGATAGTGCAGCGGCAAAAGCGCTCGCCGCGTGCGGCATCCAAGTTGTTCAAGCAGATTTGACCGACACCGCAGCTCTCCGAGCGGCATTTGCGGGTTCATATGCCGTCTTTGCAGTCACCAACTTTTGGGGGCTATTTAAGGACGCACAGAAGGAAATATCCGCAGATCAGAACGTTAGTCTCGCGGCTGATAAGGCGGTAGCCCTAGAAACTGAAATGGGCATCAATATGGCGAACGCGGCATTAGCAACTGATACGCTGCAACACTACTTCTGGTCGACTCTCACGGATGCTTATACAGTCACTGGTGGCAAGAGCCAGCCTCCGCACTACGACTCCAAGGCCAGGGTTACACGATATATCAAATCCAAGCCGGAGCTCCTTGCAAAGACGACGTTTGTCTGGTGTGCCTACTACGCAACTAATCTCGGCTGGGATTTCATCAAACCCGTCTATTTCCCTGCCATTGGCCAGTACATCCAGATACAGGCTACCCCATCCGATCAGCCCATTGCATGCATTGGAAACACTCGCTCTAACTTCGGCGCCTTTGTGGAAGCGGCATTGGTCCAGCCGGAAAAGATTCGTGGTGGTCAGACCGTATTTGCCTTTGTGGAGAGGTCAACTCTAGGGGGGCTGCTAAAGATTTGGGCAGAGGCACATGATGTTAGGGCTACATATGTCCAGATACCTCGGGATACCTTTTTCAGTACATGGCCGGCGATTGCCCTGGAGTTTACGCTTGGCATGGAGCTTTGGCAGCTAGTTAGGGACAAAGAGTGGACTGGCGAAGATAGCTTCCTGACCTATACCGATCTTGGGATAGACATTACGGCATTGAAGAGCGTCAAGGACTCATTTGCAGAGCTCGAACTCTAAGCACTAGGGATATTAATAAGACGATAGTTTTTGAGTCACTTAGCCACCTTGTTCTTTGCATTAATTAGAAAAGAGAAAAGGGAGTGTTGATTTATGGTCAGAATCCAAGTTTAACAAAAGAAGTAGAAGTAGTAGAACAATTCAGATGTTAAATAAGTTAATTTATTAATCGTAATCGACCAACTGGTAGACGCATGGATTCTCAAATGCCGTCCTATGTGCACATGTCTTTGTAGGGCGTCGGCTTCGCTGCTGGGCCAGGGGAAAACCCAGAAACTCGGCTATCGGATCTCGAGGCACATACAGCTAATGCTTGATCTGAGATCCATAGCAATCCTTAATCCAACCACAATGATTGACTTTATAGCTGTTTAAAAGGGAGAACAAAAGTTAAACTTCAGAATAGAAGAGAATGAGGTAGAATGAAGTAACAGAGACGAAACTCCCAAATACTTTGTAACAGTAAGCACTCAAAGATTCACCTGCCCTCGCCCGGTTTAGCCCATGTTTTCAGCTGTTGCACCCATCCTTCGCTTTTAGGCGAAGATGCTCGTGTCACGATATGCAAAGCACAGTCTGTTTTCGTCTAGGTGCATCAAAATCACCGTCTTACAGGGTTTTGCAACTCAGAGTGGTTTAGTCTCCGCCAGCCGTATCTTGTGGCAGTCTCGTTTTAGTTATTAGTAATAACTATATATACACAACGTAGCCTTCGCATAGTCCGAACCGCGGCTAATTTTGGAGGCAAAATCGGCTCTGGAACCTTCGCGTTAAAGCTGACCGAGTTGTTGCCAGGGGTTGACGATGAGTTGCTTTCGACTAATCAGCAAGCCTTTTCCCTATCCGAGAAACTGCACTTATTCCCTCGCTGTTTAAAACCAGCGATAGGTGCGAAATATGAAGCCGTAGGAAGAGGCGACCTCGGCATGGATTATACGAGAACTAGTGTGGCTAGCGCCAGGTCCCGTCTATAGCACGATTTGTAAGATGGTACTCGCTGGCCGTTGCCTATCCTAGCGGGAGTGTCGCCCGGGAGTGTCGCCAACACCATCTGTAAGCGTCTGATGGCTCGATAGCGACTCATGCGATGACAATTGGAATGGTCCTTTAACTGTTCTAGGAAACTCCAAGGCTTTGCGCGCCTATTAATACCTTAATATCATGGCTGAGAAATAGCCAAGTGGACCCAGCCGGAAATTCGAGCTCCAACAACAAACGCCGCTTTCGACTCCAGCCATTCTATGATACTTGTAGCCGCGATATGACATCGGCACAGACTTCAGCAGAGCCACGACGCCGTGGTCGTCGGCCAGGGCCAACCTCACAGGCAAAGCCACAGCCCAACGATGAGAGCCTGGAGGTGTGTCCTGTTTGATGATGAGCTCGATAACGTAAAGACCTTCTGCTGACGCTTCAGCTGGGATAGAAACGGCGGCAGCGGAACCGCAAGGCGCAGCGGCTATTTCGTCTACGGCGGCAAGCTGCTCATGCAAATTATGAGAAGAACATGGTCCACATAGAGGGCGCCCTGGAGCAGATGGCCGGGACGTTTCTTGATTTTACAAACGGCATCCTCCAGTCGCCGCTGATAAGACAGGACCCTGACCTCGTCTCCAAGCTTCAGTCTGCAACTAACAGTATATTGCATCTATGCCAAGGGGGCAGTGGCCTGGAAGGTAACCCCGAGAACCACGAGGAGAACAACGATATCGACACCTTTGAAGAACACCCTATGAGTAGCTCTACGAGTGATGACGCCGAGTTTCAGCAGACGTATCATGGGAGCAAGGAGCCTTCTCAAACACTGGACGGCATGCTCCTTGATTTTCATTCCTTCAAGCAACCGACACCTGTCCCTCGGCGTACTTTTCAGCCTCCTCCTCAACCTCCTCTCCAACCTGGCGCATCGGCCGCTCGATTCAACCCATTTATCAAACCACATTCATCACCGATCAGGAATATCTTTGGTAATGGCTTTATGAGCCTACCGCCCATTAACTTTGCGGACTGCGCTACAACCGACTATATGATGCACGCATATCCATCCGAAGAGTCATTTAGTATCATGATTACCAGAGCCTCTCTGCAGCACGCATATGATTCTATCCTCAGTGATACGTACGCGACTTCCGCAGTTGTCGATAGAATATTTGGCTTCACTCTCAAATTTCGATCGCGCGAAGAAATACTCATGGTATTGCGTTGGTACCTGAGACCTCAGACCTCGGAGATTTTCAGATTGGCCACGGCTGAATTCGATGACTACTTGGTGGCCCAGTACTATCACGGAATTGCCACAGCTCAGTATTCGGGCATTGACGGAGTCTTTAACGGCGGCTGCCTGGATCCTTCAAACGGGAGAGCCCCTTCTCCTTCAAATCAGAGCCGGATCCTAAATTCCTATCAGATTGAGCAGTGGTTGTTAGCTTGTGGGATGAGGCATCTGGATTTTGATACAATCGAGCTGAAAGAAATCAAGCCGGTGGGTAGGCTGTCAAACAATCAACTGCCCGACACTTCAGAGGAACTGCTGCAGCCCTTTGCATCATTACAACAACCACAACAGCAGCAGCAGCAACAACAGCAACATGTGCCCATCCAAAGCATTCCCAGGATAGAGATTCAGCCAGCGGATGATATAAATTTAGGAGGCAAAATAGGGAATATTCGTCTATCAAGATCACGCTTGATACACGTCTTGAGAGGAATCTCCTTTTGCATTGACAAAGGGCCAGCATATTGCGAAAGAGCTGTTTTAGAGTCGGTTGTCATAGCAATGAATGCCGACAACTAGGTATGATAGAACAGCCAAACTAAGGCTTATCTCAACAAGGCTGCGGGAACAACTAATGATAAGCGTGTTTGAATAGAGATTTTTGTTTTTCATACCGCTGTGTCGCCTTTCATAAGCTCACGAATAGCTGACAGTAGCTTTCGATAAGTTTAGTAGCTTTCGATAAGTTTAGTAGCTTTCGATAAGTTTAGTAGCTTTCGATAACTTTGCTTCGCCTGTCTGGCCACAGTCTTATGCGGCAAATGCACCCAAAGGGACCGCGAGCACATTGTTCAGTAATCAAGAAACATGGTCTTCTCAGAACACTTCTGAGTGGCGCCTCCTTTGATTTTAAGCAGCCCGCGACTCAGACACGGACCGGTCCTTTAAACAACCATTCGGAGGCACTTAGTTAATTAACAACACAGCCTGAACCCTATCGGAAGTTTTACGGTTCCTGGCTTCGAAGAGCATTACCGACAATATGTCACGTCCTTGTCGTCTTCATGAACGTCTGATTGGTTGCTGATTGTTGGGAGTCGGAGCACTTAGCTAAACACCTCCGAGATAATATCTGGGCCGCGTCCCCACAGCCAAGATTGCCAGCTAAGCCTGGGACATTCATCTCAGGATCTTGGCTCAAAGCTTCCAAATCATGAACATGATTAGTTTATTGGGTTTCAAATCACACATCTTTTCATTGGCGAGATGTTTGTTTCCTTTCCCTTTTTAAATAGAGAAAATGGACATATTAAAGACGCGACGGCGTTTATGCCATGTAAATGGCATTGAGCTGTCTAATCTTTGGCCTGTCGACTTCCGGCGAGGATAATTAAAGCGAATCACACGACGAAGCAAGAAAGTGATATACGCGATTTCGCTTCAAGATGGCTATTGCCGAAGAGATGAAAGTCGATTCTTCTCGACCACCCGAGCAGTCAACTCCAAACTCGGATGGAAGCACGACCACGATCGATGCCGAACCAACAGTTCCTACAGAGGCGGAGGGGGGTTTGTCTAAAGAACAACAAGGGATACGCAAGCACCTGATTGCACTGAGCATTGTGCTATGCCAGCTTATTGTGGTATGTGGCAGATTTAAACATAGGGTAAAGTTATCAGCACTCCAATTCTATTATCCAGCACTCTAGCTATGGCGTGGGCTACATATGCTACCGATGCTATATATGCTATTGGTGCTACTGGTGCTACATGTACAGATACTACATGTACAGATGCTACTACGACTAACGTGCTGGATACATGTAATGAAACTCCGGTGCTGGATAACTTTCCCCAACACATACATAGAGTTGTCACCTTAACTTTCTTGAAACCAATAGGCTCTCCCTTTCGGTTCCGGCCTTTTGATCTCATACACGATCCCCCAAAAGCTGGGATCTGACCCAAGCCTGGGTATCTGGATTGCTGCATCATATCCGTAGGAGTCACCTCCTTCACCTGAACCTGGCATTGTTATCTGATTCTTGACGCACATTAGGCTGACGGAGGCGACATTTGTCCTAATGGGTGGCCGCGTTGGAGCTGTCCACGGCCACAAGAAAGTTCTTGTCATCGGCGGTGCCATCTACGTTTTATTCAACCTGATCTCGGGGTTTATGCGAACCGTCCCGACTATAATCGTCATGCGAGCTCTTAGTGGCGTGGGAGCTGGCATAATCGTTCCGAATGCTATTGCTCTGCTTACGACATCGTTCCCGCCGGGCATAGGCCGCTTGATATGGGTCGGGCTGTTTGGAGCAATGGCTCCTGTTGGTGCTGGCGGTGGTTCCATATTCCCGGGTTTCTTTGGCCAGCTGCTGCCTTGGTGGTGGCTCTTCTTCTTCTTGTGCGTGAGAGTAGCAATCTTTAACCTTGGAGCGTTGGATGAGCTAGGCTAACAGTGGATGATGATGCAGTGCCATTGCCGGAGCCGTCGTTTTCACGGCTGCTGCGATCCTTGTCCCATCTGAAGAAGTTACAATGGATCCGAATGGAAAGGTCGACTATATCGGGTCGTACTTTGGCGTTGGCGGCCTCATTCTGTTCAACTGTGCCTGGACGTGAGTCTCTATACCTTTACTCAACTTCAGATTTCCAACAATACCGCTTGCTAATGCCGATACAGAGAGGCCGCCATCAAGGGGTGGAAGGTTGACTATGTGTACATAATCCTCATTTTCTCTGTGCTTCACATAGCCCTATTCTTGCTATGGGAAGCAAAGTTTGCAAAGGAGCCAGTACTGCCCCTTTCAGTCTGGTCTGCGCCATCCTTCAAGCCCATGCTGCTCTCCGCCTTCTTCACCTTTATGAGCACGGGCATTCTCTTCTACTACATAACACGATGGCATGTGGACATTCGCCACTTTTCGAATCTGCTCAACGCTGCGGCCTTTGCGACTTTTACCGTCACAGCAACGGTCGCCTGTGGAATAAGCGCCATTTGTGTGCGATATATGCCCGCACAGCTTGTGATGGCGATAGGGACGGTGTCGGCTCTTGTTGCGGGTATTCTGCTGGCGACAATGCCCATCCATCAGAACTACTGGCCGCAGGAATTTCCGGCACTGTTCATCTTGGGATTTAGCCCTGATTTCATCTTTACGGCCGCGCAGATTATCACTAGCAACAGTGTCAAGCGCAATCTGCAGGGCGTGGCTGGATCCCTCGTCGGTACGATTCAGCTGTACGGCTTGGGCACGGGTCTAGGATTTGCTGGGACTATTGAGATTTATACGAACAAGCACGGCGCTGATCCGATTGGAGGAATCAGGCACGCTCTGTGGTTCTCGGTTGCTCTGGCTGCTGCAGCGACGCTGATGTGTGTCTTGATTCGGATTCCCAAGGATGAGCGCGAGGGCTGGGATGAAGATGAAGTGGAGGGCCATGCCTGATCTATGGTGAAGCAAATTTGTGCGCAGTTATACTGGGGAAGAAAGAGGGCTATGGCTATAATTACTTTTAACAGGATGAGCGAGATTTTGCGCATTTTTGTTCGACGCAGAAAGTTCTTGGAACGCATTAGAGACGATCTCATATACCATTTCTTGTCATCTACATATCTATAGATATATATCCATCTAGCGGAGGATTATTTTGAGGCATTTGTGAACGAGATCTCAAATTTATTTTTTCCTCGATGATGGTAGACATACGATGACCGGTATACTACATGCATGTTGTATGCTCGCTTCAATGACTTACAAGCGAGCTGTCTTACCGCCTCTCAATGTTTGTCTTGTAAGTGGGAGAGAATATGTCTTGAGCGAGCAAAGAACAAAAAAAAGGAAGGAAGAATAAACCAGAAACCGGTCCAAGCAAACGAATCGTCTTCCTTAGCTAGACCTTGAATAACCAATCAACAAATATTAAACTCATAACTCATTGATGTAATTGTGCACACTGCTAATTGCTTCATGCATTGATAAAGTGGCTAGTGCCCTGTTGCTGCAGCGCCACAGTCGTCATTCGCAGAGCTGATCCCAAGCACCGCCGCATGTGACGTGAAACTGCCTAGACTACAGCATTGATGGCATAACATGGCAGCCTTGCTCATTTCTACGTGCATTCTGCTTGCATATTTTTTCCGTCATAACGTCTTCTGGAAGCTCCTTTGCTCTTCATCTGCCGCACCCTTCGTTTCGATATTCATCAGAGAACCCTCTTAAGCTTAACAGGAAAGAGACACAAGGTCTTGCTGTGGCTGCGACCCCTCACGTGCAGATAAGCGATCTCTATGCCGATAAGCACGGCTCTCCGACTCTGGACACTTCACAAGCTTTGGTTTGTCATACGAGCTAAAAATTAAATTATTGGGGTAGCAGGCGGCAGCTGCATCTGGATCGTCTCCCGCCACGACCAAAAGCCGAGGATACCTGACGGGCAGACGACGGAGAAGCTTCTGGCACCAGGGAGACGCAAACAACGACCTCAGAGGACAAGAAACCAGGCCATCGACTCGACCCGGCGACACAGATGAGTAACCGCTGGTGACGGAGCGATTGCGGGCGACCTGTGCATCTGCCTCTCGGGGACTGTCATCCTCCCAGTCGCGGGGGGACCTCTGAGACGAGACAAGACAAGAGACCGGTCTGCTATTAGCCTCTGGACTTGGAGATTTCCAAAAGATACCCGCGGCACGGCACGAGCCCTGCCGCCCACCGCCGCCCCGATGTGGTGGCCATTCAGCATCTTCTTCAGCAGCATCTTCCTCTTCGCCATCGTCCTGTCCATCCCCGTCGCCTTCGATGTCGGCGGCCGAGACAGCGGGCTGGCCTACAGCCTGACCCTGTCCATATTCTACATCTTCTACTCGGCCATCCGCCTGGCCACGCCCGAGACGTCGCGCGTCCGCTGGTCCATCGTGACGCTGCTGCGGCTGGCGCAGTGGTTCGTCATCCCGTCGCTGCTCATCTGGGCGCTGGGCAAGTTTGGCGTCGACGCCGATGCCGGCAGCTCGAGCTGGGTCGAGAGGACGCTCGGCGGCGTCTTCCAGTCCAAGAGCACGAGCTGGACTGAGTGGATGTTTGGCAAAGAGGGACTGGTCGAGACTATCTTCCTTGGCTCGTGGGACAATGTGCTGAGGTACTCGGGCCCTGTATTCCAGCTGCTCGAGGGCTTCTGCACGCTGCTCGTTATCCAAGCGGCGGGCCAGATTACTCGATGGCTCGTCAACAGAGGGAGGAGCGATACATGGGTGGTGAGTTATTTTGTCAATGATAATAAAAGCCAAGATGGCCGTCATAGCTAACAGTTGCCCTCTTTGCGCAGATTGTCTTGCTTGCATTTTCCGGCTCCATCATTGCCAGCGCCGTCTATTTCCTGTGGCGCGTGGCCCAGTTCCCTCAGATCAGCAACGTTGATGCCACTCTCATTGGCGTCACCATGACCACGGCTGTGTTCCTCTGCGCATATGGCATCGGCAGTGGCCGCGGCAGTCCCGTCGAATCGTCGCTTCTCTTCGCCTATGTCGTGCTCTGTGTCTATCAGATCTTTACCGACTATCTCCCGTCCGATGGCACCTATTCAACGGAGGACCAAGCTTCATCGCAACCGGAAATACCTCCTCTTCCGCCCATCATCATGGCCTCGTACTCAACCCTACTTCACATCCTCAGTACCCTACCTGGCGCTTTGCATTCTTCGCTCGCCCTCTTGTACGCCGCTTTCCAGACAATCACGCCATCCGTCATCATCTCTCTCGCATATCGTCTGTTCGTCTTCTACTGCGCCACCCGCATCATCCCATCAGTACGGGATCTAGGCGCCCGAGCCATGATGCACGAGCCTGATTTTGACGAGTCAGAAACAGCAAACATGTTTTTGAGCATCCTGAGCTACTTCTCACCAACAATATTGATATCAGTCTACACCAGCCTGTTGCTACAACACTTTTCAACGAGCGAGGGGCCAGATGGCTGGACACTCAGGGGCGGGGACGTGGGTGGCAGCTCTTGGCGGTGGGTCAACGTGGGATTAACCATGGTGCTGTATGGAATCGAGCTCTCTTTGAGCACAGATGATCAAGATCATTGGAAGGTGGATTGAATAACGCAGGATAACAACTGGGTGAGACCAAGATAGGAGAAGGAAGCAAAGGGGGAAGTAGAAACCACCTTTACCAAAACACTTCAATAAGACGCATTTTACTATTTGAGTCGATTGAATTACTAAAGCCACTGTTTTCAGTACATTTAGGGGGGTTTTCGTAATGAATAATATCTGAAAGCTGTTGGAAAGATCAATATCAGTGTGTTCGCTTATTAGAGTTCTGCTATGTAAATAGACCTATGGAATAGTTTGTTCGTGCTCGAACATCCAAGATGAACTTAATCCTTTAGGTATCATAGAATCAATTCATCTTGCCGTTTTAATATGAGGGAGGATTTGCAATCCCACTTTCCCGAGGTTAAAATGCTGCTTCTCGGTCATATAATTCATAGACACTCATTTGTCTCTTCAACTCTATCCGTCTCGAAATACGACAATTCAATTCTCCAAAGACATAATACGATAATCGAGACGATAGCGAAACGCGAGCAACAGAACGACGACGGCAAGCCCTTTGTTAAGAAGGCACGATACGACTACGACAAAGGAAAGGACCTTGAGATCCTGGAGGAATAACCTGCAGCTTGCTCCTTTGTTGAGTGTGGCAACTGGCCAAGTAATTCCCAACTTTCCGGATTCAACCCATACAATTTAGTCAACTACCAGGTATTTTTTTGTTCTAGTGTGTCGAGATGTCTGGGCCGTCTTGTATTTTTAGGTCATAAAGCAGACGATTTTCCTTTATCAATTCAATATTTTGCCAGTGGGAAACTTGAGAGCTCGCCAATGGCAATTATTGTTTACCTATGGGGTGGTGGGTCATGTGTTGTGGCGTTTGATGCAAAGGATGGTTTGAGGAGTCTACACTTATTTAGCTGTCACATATAGAGCGAGCAAATCCTTTATGAGCCTCTTGTTAGACATCACTATTTGGACAAACCCTTACAATTATGAAAGAAAACCAATAGTTACAATGAATGCCTTATATGACGTGGGAATTGCTGCGTTGCCGAGGCATCGGCCTAAAAACGGGCTAGAGCGGACGCTTTTAGCCATTTATAGAGCGTCAACACTTTGTTGTAGATCGCTTGCTGTATGCACGGCCAATATTATGGGACTTTACTATTAAACGCAACTGGCTCCAGCAACATAGCCAGCTTCCCCTTCTCTTGATCCAAATTTCCTTCTTCACATCCCCTAGAGCATAATAAATCGCAAATAAAATGACTACCGGAGAAAAAGACAAGAAATACGCCACAAAGGGCCTCCCACCTCCCCCAGATGTCTCTGTAACCACCATGCCCATGGCCGGTCTCCTGGTCGACGTCTACGGCCTACAAGAGCTTCCCGCGTCAGCAGCACCGACAACATGCCTGTGGCTTCTTCACCCCCGGACACGGAATAGGGCTGCTATGAATGATATTGCCAGGCGCGCAGTCCACTCCTGGAACCAGAAGGGTCAGGCAAGAGGGCTCGTGGCCTTGGCCTTTGACATGCCCAACCACGGCACGAGAATGGTGAGCGCAAAGGCCAACCTGGCGTGGGATGAGGGCGAGGGCAATGAGAATCATGGCATCGACATGTTTGGTCTGGTCAAGGGCGGGATGAGGACCATGAGCGGGTTGATGGACCAGGTGGGAAGCTATCTCGGGAGAAAAGTCGATGCACATGTGTGTCTGGGATGGAGCCTGGGAGGGCATGCGGTGTGGCAGGCGTGGTTTGGAGAGGAGAGGATTGATGCTGCAGTGGCGATTGTGGGGTGTCCGGATCTCATGAGTGAGTCTTTTTGCTTTGTCGCTGTAAGGATGATTTGGGAGCTATGTTGCTAATATGTGATACTGCAAAACAGACATGATGGCTAGTCGAGCCGAGCTGTCCAAGCTGGACTGTGGCGGAACTGGCTTCCTGGGGAGCAAATACTTCCCTGCTGACTCCGTCGCCACGGCTCGCAGATTCGATCCCAAGGGTACCCTATTCGGGACCGACGTCATTCCTGCTCTGCCGCTCTCCTCGGCTGAACAGGATCGCCTTCGCAGCATCCTTGACAGCCGTGTCCGGGGCAAGAAGCTGCTTTTGTGCTCAGGAGGCGCTGATGAGCTGGTGCCGTATTCCAAGGGGGAGGCTTTCATCAGGCTGTTGAAGGATGCGGCGGGTGGATGGTATGCCGATGGGGGCGTTGAGGTTGATGATAGAGTGTATGAGGGCGTGGGACACAGATTTGCGGCGGACATGGTGACTGATGCGGTTGCGTTTTTGATGAGGGCGGTGGCGGAGGGGCCGAGGAGGAAGAGGGAAGCTGAGAGTAGAGCGAGGATGTAGACTGAGTTGATGAAAGATGCTTCTATTTACGTAGCTCTGCCAAGTCTAGATGTCAGATGCTGTCTAAAGAATAATGAACAATAACGACATTTCCATCACGGCCAATATCATCACCATGGCCGCGGCGCATCGTCGACCAACGTCTCCATCTCACCCTCCCCTCTCGTAATCAAGCCCCCTCTACTAAATCCATCCACATCCTTTCCAAAAACCCCTTGCCATACCGCCCACGGATTCCTCCTCGCCCTCTTTCCAGCCAACTTCTCTCCCCGTCCGTGAGGATCAGCCGTCCACTCATCCACCGCCTGTCCTACGCCTTTCAACGCAACTTCGTTCTCGCCATTAATCATACCAGGCGGATCGATGCCCAGGAATCGTGTCCTCTCAAGCGGAAATCCAATGGCAGCGCAGTGGCCATCTATGAAGCGGGGCCTCTTGAATTCGTGAGAGACAATGGTTAAAGATTGGGGCCAGGCTTTGAAGTGCGTGAAGAAGAGACTGAAGCTAAAGAGCACGTTGTAGTATGAGTCTAATGCACGGTCTTCAATGAGTATTTTTGATGAAGTGACTTCGGAAACTGTTTGTGGCTTTGAATTGGGCTTGTTGATGAAAACGTGGTCGAAGAAGTTGTGCGCTGCGGCGAGGTTGCTGTAGCTCTGGGCTTCACTTAGAGGTGTTTCTCTGCGAGTTGGGCCGCTGCCATTGTACGACAACGTTAGCATCACTTATACATGTAACCAATAATACAGAAACTTGATAAAATAATCAACTGGAATTTTCTTCAATGCTTACCCTGAAAAAGCAAGCACACTGTCATCGTAGCTCTCGGCGAGAAGCTTCACTCCTAGTTTAATGTGCTCGATAAAAGTGCTTGTCTCGCCGCGCTGAAAATCGGCAATGAGCCACTCATTTTCATCAGCGCCTTTAGAAGGGCCGCCCTTCCAGATACCGTGGCAGCAGACGATTATGAGGGAGGTGGGAGCTGTCATGGTATTGGAGGCTGGTGTTGCAAAACGTTGTTCAGATCAAATCTCCCGTGTAAAGGAGGGGCTAGTGTTGGGTACATGGCTCCATTTATTCAGTAAGAGTCAGGATATCAACGACATCAACCAGAAACGTCTTTGTTGCTTCTCTTGTCATGTTTCAGTGTACTTTTCAATATTATCATCATCATCATGAAAGTGTACTCCTTGCACCACCAAATTTGATTCAATGTTGAATTTCGTAGCTATTACTACACATCGTCTTACGCAGACGACAATAGAGGCTATGTGTAAGCCGAATAATATACATACATACGGAGTCGCATACAGATAGATGCTTAACATTTCCTTCTTTTAATCCAACTCAATATTCCCATATCAGGGCTTGCCAGCTTCAGAGTCTGAACTGACACGGCCCTTTGTCAGCTTGTCAACGAGGTCATGCGCCTCTGTCGCAGCCTTCTCCTTCTCATTGTCGTCATGACGGCTTTTTCTTTTGCCGAATCGCGAGCTTCGCGCATCCGATGTAGGCACTTCTCTGGCTGCTATTTGATCAAATCGCGCGTCAAGTTTGCTCTCTAAAGAAGCAGTGGTATCTTCGTGTTGTTTGTTGGCCGTCATGCTCGCCTCTTCGTCATCGGGAAAGGGGAATTTTTGAACCTTGGGCTTCGCGGGCCGTCCAAACACCTCTTCGTGGCTCATATACTTTTTCTCAGGCAAGGCAGTATGGCCTCGGAGCTTGAACATGGCGCTGTTAAAGGCTCCGAGATGCTCCTGGTGGTGTCGCTTGAGCGTCTCCAGGCTGGCTTGTAAATCCGAGGAAACGGCGCTCGTGGGCGCAACGGTTGGCTCTTGTGCCAAGTCCTTCTCCATACTCTCTATGGCACTACGGTACCCCTGAGCTTGTTTCCTATGAAATTCCACCTGCTGCTGCAGTGCACGTATTCTCTCGGGAACGATGGAAGACTTGGGCTGGCCGCCGTGCCTCACTGCTTTAAACGCGGTATTCCGTGTGGGCGACAGATACCAGTGCCGCCGTGCTTGTTTAAACTCTCTAGCCTCTTCAGCGGTCAGCGGCCTCTTTTGCGATAGCTGGATGTAGTGCCAAAGCTGTGCGGCTCCAGGCCGCCTCGTCTTGGTCTTTCTCCTTGGCTCAACGCCATCCAGGTTGTAAAAATTCCTAATCATGTATAAGCTTCCCGTAACTATGACGGGACCCTCTCCAGCTTTTTCGCAAGCCCATTGCACGCCCGAAGCAATCCGTGAATCACCATCGTATAGCTGAGATTCATGGCTGACAATGGACTTTCCAATCTCACGGCCGAGTTCAACAGGGGCCGGGGGCGGCTCATTGGGACCAGGGAGATATTCAACAAAAGCAAAGTTATCCTGAGGCTGTACCAAGGTAGAGATGACCTGTGCAAAAGGTTTGGATTTGCTAGCCGATAAGCCCATGACCCACGAAATCGGTTCATCACCTTGGCGAACTTGATGCTGCACGTAAGAGGCCAACGCTTCGGCGCCGAGCAGATTGTGAGCGCCATCCACGAGGATAGGCTTTTCGCGACTTCCACCGGTGAGGCCAGTCACTCGAACTTGCTCTTTTCGCCCAGAGGGAAACGGTTCCATAGCCAGCAGCTTGTTAACGTCGACTTCGTAATTCGGGAATAGGTGACGGAAGGCAAGCGTAGCGCAGAGAAGATTCTGTTTCTCGTAGTCCTCCAGCTTGAACCGCTCAGTATCAAGGTTGGCCAGCAGAGGCTCTCCCTTCCATGATGGGCTGATCTGAGTACCTATACTATTTGCGTGCTGACGAAGAACTTTCATGACTGAGCTGGGATTGGTATGGTCAACAATGCAGGGCACGCCGGGCCGCATGATGCCAGCCTTGACCTTTGCGATTTCTTCAATGGTGTTGCCGAGGTATTCCTGGTGGTCCAGATCGATCTTTGTGATGACCGTAACTGATTTCTGCCTCATGATATTGGTGGCATCTGTGGCGCCGCCCATGCCCACTTCAACCACTCCGTAATTGACATGCATCTTATCAAAGACCCGAAAGGCTGCTGCCGTTTCCAACTCAAACGGCGTCAGGTTGCCAGGATCCTCTCCGGCGGCAAATCGCCAACCAGACGCAACCCTCCTGAACTTGTCCTCGATGTGCTTCACCTCCATCTCGTACATGCGGCGATTGACGTACAGGCCGTTGATGGTGACGCCATTGTGCCTCTCGGGCATGGCCGGCGACGTGTACATGCCATGGCTAATGCCGGACAGCCTGAAGAGCCCCGAGATAAGATTGCAGACCGAGCCTTTGCCATTGGTGCCGCCGACATGGACTCCCAGCCAGCCCTGCTCCTTTGGCACGACGTGGCCGATGCGCTCCAGGCCGAGGCGGATGTTGCGGTTGGCCGATGCCACCTTTTTCTCGGCCGGCATGACGGCTCTTATGCGAGCCAGCGCTCGATTAACCTCTTTGGCAGATGGCATGGGGGAGACATTCCACGAGGCCAGCTGTAGCTTTTCAGAGATAGAGCCGGTGTCGTTAGGCGGAGAGCGCCATATAGAAGAGCAGGTTGCGCGCCTCGCCGAGGAGGAGACGGAGGAGGAGAGATACGAGGCGAGGTGGTGAGTTTGGAAGCAAAGCAGAATCTCAAAATCTCAAAATCTAACACGAAATCTCACACCATCTCCACAGCCCACTACAATGCGATCAGCACATGCAAGCACCAGCCACAGCTGATAGTTTGCATGGAAACGAAAGTGTGGCTTGCGCGTGCGCATCAAAAAGTTTGCTGCTCGGCGTCCCCTAGCCAGCAGCGCCTCTAGCGCCTCGCCCCCCATCTACTGTCCCAATGCAGCGCATCTCTCCAACAATAGGCCCCGGAACCCCCAGAAGTCGCTTTCAGCCTCTCCCGCGTTGATTCAGCCTTTTCTCCCCATTCACTTCTTCTACAACCGCCTTCACTCTTTGTTCCATCAAGCCATCCGTCGCTCGCTCTTCATCTATTCCACCTTCAATCTCGTCTGCGCCCAGGACTTGATTGATTTCTCGTCTCTGTCGCAGAAAACGCGCTGCCGGGAACATCTGCCCCTGCACGCCCATCGTCATCGCTACTGGGGTCGTCGCGCCAACTGGAGAGGCGCCGCCGTCAATCCATCAAAATTTTTGTTTTCTTTGGCCTCTCGGTTATCGCCCCTTTGTATCGCATCTGCAGATACCCGCGTACGCCATGGGTCTCCCGTGAGTTTTACTTTTCCAAGCCACTGATGGGGCCAATGGCTGCCCCTGCGTGCGCTCCTCGTCTTCTGCCTCTTCTGCCTGCGGCCGACCGCGTATCAGGCGCAGCGGTCGCATCCTTGACTTGCCATCGCAGCGCGCCTTCTTCGTGTCGAGCATCTGGCCGCCTCGTCGACTAGATCTTCGGCTGCGCAGCGAATTCCCTGCATTCACGTTGCCCGATGTACTTTGCCTCTTCCATCTCGTCCCCAGCGTCGCAGTTATCTCGACTAATCAATCTGCCGCCATGACAGACTCTTCGTTGCGCCTGTTGAGACCGATCTACCTGCCAAACAGCCAAAGCATGATGCGCTTTCTCTTGCTCGCTCCGGCATCAGGCGCTCAACATACGTGGAAAGGCGCGATCGACGGCATCCTAGGAGACGACGCATTTCCGACCTGCCGGTTTCTGCTCCCGGGCGCGAGGCGCTGAGAGATGTGACCTCTGGGGGCGAACGGCAGAGGGACGGCCTGGAGGAACAGATGAGCTCCCTCTATGGTGGTACTTGGCACGGCGTCGATACATCGGGGAGAGCGGAAGAAGGCGGCCAGGAAGGCGAGATTGGGTGGTGGAGTTCTGACCCTCGACTGCGGCCTAGGCATGCGCGCATCGTAAGCTGCTCTCCAGTCGCCTTTTCAACGTCGATAGACTGCTAACAATCACAAACGCAGGCCGCCGTGATAAGCAATCCCAGGCGCAGCCGCAGCCCCCTCCCCCCATCGATTGGCTCGGTAATCCCTGGTAGCTTTATCCCCAGCAACCGCCTTCCCCCATTTCGTCTCCTTGACGGAGAACTGGAGAGGATACCTTTTGAACCCTCAACGTCCCTCGACGACGTGTCCACTTTGGACAGATACAGATCTCTTCGCAGAAACCAGTCACGAATGTATCGAGCCTTGCTATCTAGGCGCTCCCAGCCTGATGAGCGTCATTCGCGCACTCAACCGGTAGATGGTCTGGGAGACCGCGACAGAAGCCTGAGCCCGGAGGGTTGGGATACATTGCGCTCAACGCTGACGCCTGATCCACAGCCGCCCAGCGCAGGCTCTTCGTTTGTATCTGCGGCGGCCACCCAAGGTGCAGGCCCTTCCAATCCTCCCCCCTCCGCTCCAGAACTGCCTGACGGGACTATGGACCCTGCGTGCGAATCCGGCCACGAAAATTCCGACGACGAGGATACCTATTTTGGGTACCCTGGATATCGTGGCATTCGTCACGCCCACCGACGAATCCGCCAATTAGTTCCCGAGTACAACTTGGATGGGCCGTCGGACGGGCCACGTTCCCAGCAAACTCAATCTTCGGGGCCCTCGGGCGATGTTCTAGCAAATCATTATTCCCAACTATTATTTGGCCAAACCGGGTCAGAGGACGAAAGACGACTTGATCGGCTCCGACTAATCCGTGATGAATCCTCTGGAAGTGGACCAAGCACTCATACAGGAGATGAAGAATGGTTAGGCATGCAGCGAATCGTGAGGAGTCTCGCAGCGAGAGAAGATATCCCAGACGAATGGTGGGCTGGGGCCGGCCTGAATCGAACACTGCCTCGAGAGGGGTCAAACTGAGATTCTCATCCACCACGCATCACCCTCGTTCGCAAGTAAAGCAGTGTGCTTTTGGAGAGCGTAGATGCATTCGCATGGCTGCTGAAATTTCATTCATCGGTCCATGGCTGACTTATTGGCTTGGTTATTCGTTGGTTTGCTTGATTGTTATTCATTCACCAGCTTTTTCTTTTTACATTCTTATTTTCCTCTCTTTTAACATTAGCATGGAAGAGAGTATAACAACAGCAGATTGGGATGTTGATATTCACAATGCGGAAATGACATGTATGACTATGATAATGGAACGAATTAGGGGAGACAGCGGGAAAGGAAAGCGTTTTGAAAAATGTGGTGATGTTGGCATTATTTATTTATATCGCGGGCTCAAAGAAGCCCCTCGCACTCAAGGCATACAATTAATAAATAAAGATCCATATCGTTTGTTTTGGTTCGTTGTCTCCCATATGTTTCACAAGTGATTTTCTATTATTCCCGAGTGTGTTTACTTATAAGCGTGTAATATTCTCTACTCTACACATAATTACGTAAACCAATCTTGTGATGCTCGCAGCAGTCAATACTATTTGGGCTCTAAGGTTTGGTTAATATGCCTAGGCGGAAACTTTGAGATCCGATTAGCCATTCCTGCGCATCCATGATTTGCAAGCAAGAGGCCAAGGGGGGGCATTGGATGGCCTCAGAAGGGTATAGAGGCATCATTTGTAGGTAACATATCAGATTCTAGCAAGCTCATGGGATCCATAAGTATAAACTCAAGTGTAAACTCTGCTCAACGATGGATGGTTCTAGCGGTGGCTGTTCGAGGGCTAATTGGGACCGTGTGGGGTTCAATGTTATTTAGACTGCTGCCATCTTGATGATGTTCCCTCGTGTAAGAAGTCTGGTGCGGATGTGCCCTTTTCAGGGCGCTGCGCCAGCTGTATCAGCAAGGTCGACGCTGCACCGGCCACTATCAAGGCTCAGGGCACCCGCCACAGGCCCTTATTAGGCGGCAGCTATCTACAAGAGCTCCCCCGTAGGTACCCAAAACCAACTCCACAGCTCTCGTCCAGAGCACCGGAATTGGGGACCGCAACTCGACGGCACGCGCTCTCGGGCAGATCCAGTCCGCGCTCTCGTCTCTTTCTCCTCCTCCTTTCATCTTCATCTCCTTGTCCTGCTCTCTTCATATTTTTTCCTTCTCTCTCTTCCTCGCCGGCCTCCATGCGTGAGCCTCTTCCCTGTCGCAGCGATTCTCCCCCGCCGCCGCCTTTTCGATGAATGCCGCCCACCCTCTGAAATAATTCGGGCGAATGCGAGCGATACACGAAGCTACAGACCCATCGGCGGGCATGCCATCGACTCCCCTGCGGATCTTTTTTCTTCCAACTCGCCATTCGCTACGATTTTGCCTGCCGCCGAGGCAGAGAGTTTTGCAAGGCTGCGCAGATCAACGAGAGGAGGGGGGAAAAACTACAGCGGACGTCGTCGACCTGCGATCCTTGCAAGCTTCAGCAAGATAAGACGAGTGGCAGAACGACACAGCGAGCGAGATGCCGGCAGAGAACATATATCCCGCTAGCAATGGGCGGTTCGCCGGAGGGACCCCGAGAGAGAGATCCTCAACCCAGTCTACACCGTCACGCAAAGAGAGGGCAAGGGAGAACGCAGCGATGCAGGACCCAGGGCTGAAGGACTATGTATGTGCCGACCCTTGACGCATAGATGCCAATTCGAATCAGCAGTGGTGGCGAAATGAGAGAATGCTTTTTTTGCTGAAACTTGGAGAGTTTGCTGACCGGAAAGACAGCGTCTGGGCGAATGTATCGGAAAGGGAGCCTTTGGGTCGGTGTACAAGGCGTTCAACTGGGGCACTGGAGAGGCTGTTGCTATCAAGCAGATCAAGCTGACGGATCTGCCAAAGAGCGAATTGCGGATGATGGAGGTGAGTCCATGGCGGCATGACAGGATCTGGATACCTTCCTATACAACTTCTTCATATCTGCACATCTCACCAGACATGTGGGCGATACTAATTGTGTGTCTGCCAGAGCGAAATTGATCTGCTCAAGAACCTTTTGGTAAGAGAAACCCCCTAAGTAGAGCTGACTGAGAGAAGCTAACCACGTGAAGCATGACAACATCGTCAAGTACATCGGTTTCGCCAAGACTGCCGACTGTCTCAACATCATTTTAGAGTAGGCAATTCGAAACCAGCAGCTCTACTTGGATATGAATTACGACTGACGTCATCATTTCTGCAGATATTGCGAGAATGGCTCCCTACACTCAATATGCAGAGAGTACGGCAAGTTCCCTGAGAATCTGGTCGGTGTCTACATGACCCAGGTTCTCCAGGGCCTTCACTATCTACACGACCAGGGTGTCATCCACCGTGACATCAAGGGCGCCAACATCCTCACCACCAAGGACGGAACGGTCAAGCTTGCCGACTTTGGGGTCTCGACTAGCACACTGGCTGGTGGCCAGGATAAGGAGGCGCAAGTCGTAGGCACCCCGTACTGGATGGCCCCCGAGATTATTCAGCTTTCGGGAGCCAGCTCCGCTTCGGACATCTGGAGCGTTGGCTGTACCGTTATCGAGCTTCTTCAGGGCAGGCCGCCTTATCACAACTTGGCAGCTATGCCGGCACTGTTTGCCATTGTCAATGACGATCACCCTCCATTGCCCGAGGGTATATCAGCTGTGCGTCTTGAGGATAATACCCTTCTCTGTTGAAAGGTAGAATGCTAGATATCATACGAAATACTGACTTGGACAAATAGGCAGCCCGAGACTTTCTCATGCAGTGCTTTCAGAAGGATCCCAACCTCAGAGTGTCAGCTCGCAAGTTACTAAGGCATGCCTGGATCGTAGGATGCCGCCGCACTGATGCGCCGGTCTCGAAGCCACCGGCCAACTTCAATGAGGCCGTCGAGGAGGTCAAGCAGTGGAACAGAGCGCTTAATTCTTCGGGAACCTCACTTCGTGTATCCACCGGCTCCGATGGCTTGTCTCGGTATTCTGGTGGAACGCCCAAGGGCCGCCTGAGCCTCGCCAAGCCCAGGCTGAGCGCGGGTGCGGGTGCGGGTGCAAGTGCCTTCAAGCTGGCTGAGTTAGGTACGCCAGCATTCTCAATTGAATGATGCTTGCCCATAACGGTTAAAGCTGACATTGTAACTCAGATGATGACAACTGGGATGACGACTTTGCGACGGCAATATCTCCCAGTGCTTTGCAGCTACCGCATCTGAGGCCACAGGACAATTTTGGAGGCCTTCTTTCTGCTGACAAACTCAAGGCCTTTGCGTCGGTCAATGATCTCCGGAGTGAAAATAACTACGACGAAGATTTTGAAGGCGATATGATGACGATAAAGGGACCGAATCAGCAGGCCTACATCGAAGCACAAGAGCAGACAATTCGACCAATGTCAAGGAAAGCCATAGCACCGAAGCTTCCATCGCCACCAAAAATGCTGCATCAACGATCCAAATCGAGCATGGATCCGGCAGTAGTTTCACCCAACCTATCTAAAGCGAAATCGCCTCCGAAATCACACTTTGGGAACAAATTCGAGCTGCCCCCTCGCCCTGGCGCCATGTTCCGAGAACAAAGCTCTGAAGACTACTCTGATCTCTTCTCTGATGACGATAGTGTGTTTGACCAGAAGGTTCATCAAGCGGTCCGAAAGGTGAGGCTCCTATATTGTTGCATTTACTTTTTTCCCTTAATCTTTCACAAATTTGATGTGACAGTCATGCTGATATTGCAATGCTTTCTTTCAGGGTCTTCGCCAACCTGATGCACCTCAGCTCTTCCATCCATCTGACCTCACTAGCTTGCCCCGGTCAATGCAGACAATAGACGGGAGTGTAAGAAAAAAGGGCCCTTCGAGGCCGTCAGTTCTCCCCGATCGTCCCATGAGACGCACTCGCTCGTCTATCGAGATCCAGAAGTTCGCCGAAGATGATGACGAGGACTTTTCTGACATATTCGGGCCCGAAGAATCAATAGCTGAAAAAGAAGAAAGCGAACGAGGATCCGAAGAAGCCGGCCTTATGCTCATGTCAAGGATCTCAGGAAACTCTTGGCTGGGCGATGAAGACGACGAAGATGACCCCTTTGCGTCCATGGATCCAGGGTGGGATGAGATGGACATGGACGCAAAGATTGCGCGAGACAGACATGCGCGTCTCGCAGAGAAAGTGGAAGAAATGGTTGGCCTTTTGAAAATGACAGAAGGCGAGGAGTATTTGGCAGATCTTGCTGTCGAATTAGTAAGTCGTATCAAGGTGGCGAGCGCTTTGAGTTTGAAGCTAATCGAGAGAACCTAGCTGAATCTACTCTGGGAAAATCCAGATGCGAAAAATTTAATCATCACCGCTCACGGATTGCTTCCTCTTTTGGAAATTCTAGAGCCTTGTACAGTGAAGAGCAAACATCACCTGATTTACCATTTGCTTCGACTTGTCAATACGGTAAAGGCTTCCCTTTGGATATACAAGACATGAGCTTTCTCCTTTCTAATCTGGAAATATATAGATTATCCTCGACGATGTTGAAATTCAAGAGAATCTGTGTTTCGTTGGTGGCATACCCATCATCACGAAATTTGCTGCCCGCCAGTATTCCAACGAGATTCGTCTTGAAGCAGCCGCATTTGTCCGCCAGATGTATCAGACCTCGACTTTGACGCTACAGATGTTTGTTTCAGCAGGTGGTTTGAACGTTCTTGTCGAATTCCTAGACGAAGATTACGATAGCTCTCGAGATCTTGTGCTTATCGGTGTAAACGGCATTTGGAATGTGTTTGAGCTACAAGGGCCAACTCCCAAAAATGACTTTTGCAGAATCTTCTCGAGAAGCAAAATTCTTTACCCGCTAGCGCTTGTTCTACACCGAGTTCTCGACGAAGAAGGGGAGGATGAGTTCAGTGAGCTTATTGAAGGGCGTATTGTGAATATCTTTTACCTCTTCAGCCAGGCTGAGAATTACGTCAAGGAGGTGGTGGCAGATCGACAGGTGCTGAAGAGCGTCCTCAAAGATCTCCGACGAATGACGCCGATCCACCAGATCACCATGCTCAGGTTCATCAAGAATCTTTCCATGCTCTCAACCACCATCGAATCACTGCACTCCGCTGATGCCATTGACTTCCTCATCGACCTGTTAAGCTACAGCATGAAGAAGAATCACAAACACCTCCGCGAGATCTCTAATCAGGTTCTCAACACGATGTTCAACCTCTGCCGGCTAAGCAAAGAAAGGCAGGAAGACGCAGCTGTTGGAGGCATCATCCCGCTGTTGCTACGGATCATGAAGACAGACCGGCCGCCGAAGGAATTTGCCCTGCCGATTCTCTGCGACATGGCCCACTCCGGATCAAAGGGACGACGGTACCTTTGGCAAAACAAGGGCCTCGATTTCTATGTCTCCCTATTGTCTGACCAGTACTGGCAGGTCACTGCGCTGGACGCCATCTTGGTGTGGCTGCAGGAGGAAACGGCCAACGTGGAGAGCCACCTGATGGACAACAACTTCTCGCGAGCCATCGTCTCTTGCTTTGGCACTAATAGGCTCAACGCATTTGACTTTAACCTTTTAGAACCGCTGCTGAAGCTTCTTCGACTGAGCCCGGGACTGACGGTATCACTAGCAAAGCCCGAAATGTTTGCCGGAATTACCCAGCGGCTGGGGCATAAGAAGGCGGTGGTGCGGCTAAACTTGCTGCGTCTTGTGCGTGCCATTATGGACGTCTGTGAGCCAGGGTTTCTCGGTAGCGGAGACGGCGCCAGGACACTCAACAGCGCCCAGATGCGGTCTCTCATGGACTCGATCCAGATCTTGGCAGAGAAGGATTCCGCGGTGCTTGTTCGCAATCTTGCTTCAGAGCTGGTCAAGTCGCACTCTTCATACCCGCCCCCGGTCATGATGATGAACCAGGGAATGGCGTCTTCCACGTCGGTCAACTTATCCTCTTCCAGGCGCGGATCACGGCACAACACAAACTACACCCCGGTGGGCATGCAGTCCCCAATGTCCATGACTCCTCAGACACCAACGCACAGGAGCAGAGGCAGCATAGCAAGCAATGCCTACATCGAAGTCGCTGCCAGTCCTCGGCGCTCAGGAGCACTCGACCGAGAGAACGTCGTATATCGACCTCACAGCCGAGAAGGGCCTACAAACTTTCCTCGGCGCGTTAGCAACGACTCGAGCTCAGCGGCCAGTAGCGGTGGCAGCAGCTCCGGCGGTTACGTGCCAGCAGTGAAGAGTAGACTTCCGCGAACGCCTCTAGCAGCGAGCATCCAGGGCCGCAGCAGCGCAGGGATGCTCAGAGGAGAATTCATGGCCCCAATGGTAGTCCGCAGCGAGAGCAACTTGAGCAGCAGAGGCGAGAGCGGACCTCGGCCGAATAGCAGCAATAACAGCGTGGGAATGATTTCGACGCCAAAGGCGAGGCATAAAACGTCTTCGTCGTCGATTGAAGTCATGAGACAAGCAAGTCGATAAGACGAATACTTATTCCAAATTCAAACGAACATTACGAAAAGAGAGAGAGAGATTCACTAGTCAACAGAATATACAAATGAATGACTAAGAAACGACTAAGCATCTATTAACGATATAATATGTTTTTTTTTTCCTTTTTTCAAAATCAATGAAAGCAACGATAATGAGGTATAAAAGGAAGGAAGGGAAGGACGGAAGAGGGAAAGACAAAGAGTAAAAGAAAAAGCAGATGTAATTACACTTAAATCATGATCAAGTGTTATAGAGAAGAGAAGAGTTTTTTGATGGCTCTTTTTTTTTTTTTTTTTTGGCTTAGAAATTAACCAGGAGAGAGAGAGGAGGGATAGACTTGAAAAGGATTGGCTTTTGATCTTTGTTGACTTTCTTTATTTGCATGGCTACTCTATGTTGATCAATTCATACAATTACAAAAGCAGGTATATATACATATACAATTCATCGCTTTAGCATCACATCAAAGCACGAGTCTGTTTTGGCCCATCAACTTATATTCATGTGCTTATCTGTAAAAGCTTATCACTACCCATGTCCCAACCCTAGAGCTCCCTCCATCCTAGTCAATCCAGTCCTGTGTGACAAGTCAAAAACCATACGCGCTCGAGTAAACAGAGCAACAAAGATGCGTAAAGAAAGAATACCAAGGGGTGCACGTTTTCGTGATGTCTGCCATGCCAGGCCCGCTGGATGAGTCTTGCGTCCTCTCGGCTCGCGCGCTTAGGGGTCTACCCTCGAGGAGGTAGCAGTTTGTTTGTGTCTCCCGCCCTCTTTGATATTGTCGTCTTTCACTAGTCGTATAAGTTTTCAACTTGTCACCATAAAACAAAACTGTTCCCTGGGCAATCGCCCCCTTGGTCCGGTTCGGAGAGAAGAAAAAAAAAAAAGAAAATCCGTGTTTTAAAGGACAGTCGAGAAGTGAATTATAAAATAATCATTGATAAGAGTATGACCATGACTTGGCCTCACGCACATTAAGCACGCATTCATCCATGCGAGGCTGCCTTTGTTGTAGAAAGAAAATGAAGAATAATAGCAGAGGCGAAAAGCTGTCGAGATCGACATTGTGGTCGATGTATAAATGCAATTCGCAGGTCCAAAGGGTCATGTCAAAAAGTAGAGTCCGGGAGCGTCAAGTCATAAGAATTATAATAATGAGAAAGGCAAAGAAGAATAAGGTATAAAAACACATGCGACTTGAGCTTTTGTTTATGCCACAGAAGCCATCTTACGCTTCTCAACGCTGGTCAGAACCAGTCTGGGGGCCTTGCGCTGACCATCTGCAGCCTCCTGTGATTTGGATGCTCGCAGAGCACCATTCTTGAAAACATCGGCAAACGAGTTGCTGTCGCTCTCAGAGCCAGAGTTGCTGTCAACGCTGCCGCGGACCTTTTGCCGCGAGCTAGGTCGGTCTGAGCCGATAGCGCCCCAGCCGCCAGCAGCAGAGGCTCGCGAAGTACGGCATTCCACCTCACCAGCTAAGCTGCCTGAGCCACTACGTCCAGAGTCAGACTCGTTGTCAGTGATGGGCGTCGCTGACTCTTCAGCCGTCTCGGAGACGGGGCTCATGCTGCCGCTGGAGCTGCCAGATCCTTTGCGGCGCTCCAGACCAGCACGAACAAGGTTGTGGACGGCCGATCGTCGGGTGCGAGTAGCAAAGTTCTTGCTGCCCTCGTATTTGGCCGTGGGTTTCGCTTTCAGCTCGTCCATGGAAGGTGGCCCGCGAGGTTGACGGATTGGATGCTCACCAGCCCGAGCCTGACCAGGGCCATATCCACCAGTGGCAGGGGTGGGGAAGGTGGCCGTCTTGGGCGCAGGAGACTTGCCAGCGTCCCCTGCTGCTGCGGCGGCGGCTGCCAGCACGCTGTTAACGGCGAGAGAGGATGACTTCTTATGTCCGCGTCGGAAGGCGTTGGCAGATGGTGGAGGAAGAGGAGTGACCTCGGTAGGAGAATCGAAGCGGCGTGGGGGTGAGGCGCCACGGAACGAGCCCTGCTGGCCCTCAGGAGGCGGCGAAACCTGGACACGAGGGGTGCCCTGCTGCTGCTGGCGAGACTGCTGCTGCATCATCTGCATTTGCTGCTGGAAGTTGTTGAAGCCGGGAGTCATGGGCTGCTGCTCAACGCTAATGGAAGAAACAGCCTTGGCGGCCGAGGTATCGACGTAGTATTGGCCGGTAGCGGAATCGTAGTAGACTTGTTGGCCTTGAGCGGCGGCGGCCTGTGCGGCGAGATGTTGCTGCTGCTCGTAGAAAGCGGCGGCTTGCTGCTGAGCAAGCTGGTTGTTGCCGAGGTTGAGTTGCTGGAATTGCTGGGCTGCGGCCTGGACGCTCCTGAGCTGCTGCTGAAGTCTCTGCTGCTGCTGGGCAAGATACATGTTTGTAGCGACAAGCTGGGCATAGAGGTTGGGATCCATCTGCTCTTGCAGCTGCTCATCCATGGACAGCTGGGGAGGAGCGAGTACTTGGTCAACCGTGTACTGCTGTCCCACTTGATTGGCATAGTGATGCTGCTGCTGCTGTTGCTGCTGCTGCTGCTGATGTTGCTGGCCATATTGAGGGAAAGCGGTCAGGGGAGGGTTGTAAACATTACCCTGCCCATAGCCGTATCCGTTCCGAGCGAATTGCTGCATAGGACCATCGGCACCAGTGGGCGACATGGGACCAAAGGAAGCCGCCGCAGCAGACTTGGGGGCCGTTCTCAGGCCCGCAAGCAGATGAGAGCGGCTGGTACGGGGAGTTGGAATGCCGCCGTCCTGGTTTTTGTTGCCCTGCTTAATGGTATCAAAAGAGAGCGGCTTGATGTTCTGGCTGCCGCGGCGCGAGGCCAGGCCACCGGGAGAAACAAAGTTGGAAGACATCTGAGCGAGACTGCCTGCGTCCATGGCTCAGAAAAAGAAAAGGAAAATGGTGCTTGAAAATGAGGTGATGTGACGAAGAATCGGGCGTTGCGGACGAGCCGAATCAACAGATTCAAATGTCTAATGCGGTGCGAAAGAGATTAGAAGTCTAATATGCGGTAGAATCGAGATTTGATAAAATGCGGAAGCGATGCTTTGAATCGAAGGCTGACGAAGAATGAACCGTCGAGCAAAGACAGTTCAAAAGGACGAGAAAAGCCGAGGAGAAATGAAGAAAAAGGTCGAAAATCCAAGAAATTGTAGTATGTTCACAAGAAGCAGAAGAAATCTCCGAGCATCAAACGACGGAGGGCGAAAATTAAATCGGCGTGATGCAAGGAGAGGAAAAAGATTGTTTGGAAATCAAATGAAGGATGGTTCCAAAGCAAAGCAGATTTTTTTGCAAAGGGAAGTGACGAGTTAATAACGAGTAAGCGACGCGCCAAGAGATGGGCTGCAATAGAGTTGAGCTTTCCGTCAAGGTTAAAACCCAAGCAGGTGATGCTTGAGGTTGAAAAGGCTAAAACGGAAAAGGGGGCGCGTGCGATTTTCGCGATGGTGGCGGCAAAAAGGCACGAAAGTAAAAACTCGTGTTTAACGTGTCCAAGGTTCCAGCTAGGCGGTCTTCGAGAAGCGCGACAAAGGTCTTGGGCGGTCCGTGTATTTCCTTGTAGTGAAACGACAAAACAAGCTTTGCGGCGTCCCAAATGCTGCGTTATCAACGATCGGTCGAATGAGATATGCTGGAGCGATGCGGTCTTGACGAAAGCAAGGAGCGGTCGAAGAATAATTACAGTCGATTAACGGCGGTCACAAGTGAATGCGCTTTCCATAAAAAATTGCTGTCGGTCTCCTTAAACTGTCCTCTTTGTCCCTGGGGAGTTGTCGAAATCTTTTTTTAATCCTTTTTTGGTTGAAGTCTTTTTTATTCTTTATTCCACGAGCCGAAAAGTCCCGTTGTGCGAGATTGAAGCGATATACGCGCAGCGGTGAATGAAGGGCGAGTAGAGGCGAATCCGCAACGAAAAAAAGACGAGACTCGAAAAGCGAAGAGATTGAAAATAAGGCGAGGCAAGAAGAGGCCACTGAAGGGAGAAGAGAGAGGAGAAAATAATAAGAGGCGGTGTAAATGGTGATGGGACAAAGACGGACGGAGGTGGAGGAAGGGTGGAGAGGAGAAGATTGGAGAGAGAGAGAAAAAAGAAGAGAAAAAAAAAAAAGAGCTGGTGGCGTAGAATTAATTGCAGGTGGCCGGAGGGAGAGGCAAAATGAGGAGCCCAGCGGGAAAACGCGCTAGACAGGAGGCGACGGTGGAGGAGGGTGCGCTGAGGGCCCTAAAACCGCAGGTGGACCTAGGGGACCAGACCCCTGAGCAGCGACAATGGGCGAGAGGCAGAAGCCCAGGGCGCCGTGACAGGCCACTGACAGCTGGGCGAGGGCGCTGCTAGCGGTGGAGGGGGCAGCAGCGCGAAGCCCACCGCCAGTCACAGGCCGCGGCGCAGAGGCTGGGCGGGGCGAGGCTGCGGCATGGCGGCCAATGAGCAGCGGCTGCAGCACCTGCCAGGAACTAGAGGCGCTGTTTGGCTGCTGTTTGGCTGCTGGGATGGCTGCTGGATGGCGCAAGTCAGAAGCCGCAGGACGCTGGCGTGTGGCCAATCAGGGCGGCGAGGAGGCCCGAGGGATTCGATTCTCAGCAGATTCCCAGATGGTACTAGTAGCAGTGTACGGGCAGTACCTGTACTTGAACACGCTTGGAGCCTCTTGCGGGGCGATGGAAACGCCAGGGCTCGGGAGCTCCATGTGCTCTTTTGCCCATACTGTACCCCGGCAATTGCACCTGTAGCTTACAAGTGCCTACTTTTACATCAATGCGATCAATAGGCACCAGACGAGGACAAACACAAATAAAACAAGAATAAAACGACACCCAGCTCGGGCCACGCCGAATGCGCCATGTGTCAGGCCTTGCTGTTCCCTCCAGTCTCTAGCAACTCGCAACTTGCCGCGTGACAAGCGCCCAAGATGGAGCAGCCCCATATTCTCGACGCGCAAGCAGGTAGCCGGTACCTGCTTTGCTCTGCTCTACTCCTCTCCAACTGACTACCTTAGACAGACAGACAGACAGACCCCCTCCGCAGAAGCCCGATGGCTGCCCAACCCCTGCTCAACTCTCTCTCCTCGCAAAATAGCAACATTGAACACTCTCTCCCTGCAGCGGGGATTCCTCCCTCAGCGCTCAGGGGAAAGTACCGGTACCAGCACACCAACTTCTGTCGCTCGCGCCGGTCCCTAGCCAATCACAGCGCACGCTGCACTGGGACCTCGTACATGACGACACCCTCAAGCAACGCATCTCTGCTTCTTTCGCTCTGGTTCTCCGCTTCGCCCGAGGCGGGAGCTTCGCATTACCAATTCGTGCCGCAAGAGTCATTTACTCTGCTTGGCCGACCGAGGAAGAGAAGCAAGAAGAACAAATACGGCGACGACGGGAACGCCCTCTACGCATCGTCAGCATCATCATCAGCGGCTTCAGTGTCATCGTCATCATCGCAAAGTCCACCAAACCGGCACGTGAGGCGCAGAAATAAAAAAAAGGGCGTTTTTCTTGTACAAGCACTGGACTAATAATCTCCAGTCAATCAGGAACAGCCACGATGTCGACCACCGCCGTAAGAATCCCTAGTCCAACGACTCGAGGATTGGCGGGGCCCAGTTGTTTGGCTCCCGTCGAGTCCTCTGCACGAACGCTTCTCGTCTTTTGCCGGTAGCGCGCCTAGTTTGCTACGGCTGGCGTTGGCTTTTGCTTTTCCGTCCAGGAATCCGGGTCGGGCCAGACCAGATCAAGTCTTGCGTCTAGGATGCTCTAGACTCAGCTGCGAATGGTTTCACACGGGCACTGCTATCAGATGCTGGTCGTCTTCAAGGTACGGCTGGTTCCGCATCGAGAGCCAGCGCGCATCGTCTTTGCATCCATCAATGGCTGCTCCGTCCAGAGTGCTACCGCAACACCTGCATTCTGCTCCCATGCTTCTACAATTAGAACATGGGTCCCCCTGAAGGCCATGCCAGTCCCCATCCAGATCGTCGACTCCACGCAGCAGTGCCTCCCGTGTTTCATGTCGCCCTGCTAGCCCATCACACGGCAGACCAGCGCAATGGACACGTACCAGTGGGAGGTACCACCAGAATAGAACGCTCATCTAAATTTCGCTTTCCTGGCTGGCTCGTCAGCCTCGCTTTGGCCACGATGAACAGCCATATCTTACAAGTACAGTCATCCAAATGTTGGCCCTGCGTGCGTATCTGTCCTGAAACATGCCCCGAGTCCCCTCGCGCGCATGTCTCTGCTCCAGGCTCGTGCAGGCTGCGACGAGACTATTGAAATCTTAATGCTATGCCTGTCGCCAAGCCGGGGCTTCTTCGAGGTTTGCCGCAGCCTTGCTCTGCCTGATTGCCTCTTGCAGGAGCAAAGGGGCCGTGGTGGTAGCAGTACACGATGCTGCTAGTCCTGGTGCTGGGCAACCTGGCATTCTAGCTGTACTCGTACAAGCAGGCATCAGTCAATTTCGGGGGCTCTCGAAAGGCTGACAGGCCTTCTCAAACGAGATCACCCATCCCATACGAAACAGTCCCATCCATCAATGACGAGACGAGGGGAGACGCGGCCCACTGACGAATACAGTACGGGGGCATCTCTCTCCTGCTCTACTACTGTGCCTAGGTAGCAAACATGGATACTGACTACATGCAAGATCAAGCAGAAATGCATTCACTTGACCTACGACCTGCAGAGCGTCTGTTTCTCATCCAGACTCATGTTACTGCCCAGGTGCGTTCTGCAGTTGCACAACTGGTTGACTGGTAATCGGCAGCACGGTGTACCTACTCGCAGGAATGCATGCCGCATGCCCTCAACTCCATTTTTGACGCTCGTCGCTAATTAACCGCAGCGCCAGTGGCTGCTGATATGCATTAGCAGGCATGCAGAATGCACGCAAGCACCCCATAGCCAATTTCGCGTCTCGGTTTGTTTTAGTGGCAAGGCGATCCTTTGTTTTCCTCGAGCATACTCAGAGTTTAATATGCGCCACTACCGAAAAGTATATCGGCCGCCTACCTACTGTATATAGCAACGTCGGTGGAGTCTTCCGCATGGGCAGGTCGTTTCGCAATGGCTCCGTGCAGGCAGCAGATCGAGCCTGTTTCATCCCGGCCTCTGTCTACAGCTCCACGGTCTGGTCTGGTCTGGTCGGTCTGGTCTCTTCTAGTCTGGCCTCTCATCGAAACCAGCATGGGGCATGGCCCGTGATTCCCTGCGCAGCTTGCTCCATGGCGCCGCATGCGACGTGTCATTGAATGCCATCGACTCATACGACGAAGACATCCAGAGTAGGTATTGTTCTTTCATTCTAGGACCTCCCGTTTCCAAGATTACAGCCATGCCCGCACCAGCGCCGACTCGGTCTGGGTCGCCAAAAGGCCATAGTCAATGCCACGGGCTGTGCTGCATATCATCGCCCGTATCTGCACCAAGCACTCATCGGTGGGCCACCACAGCCGCGATGCAGCATGTCCAGGTCCAGGTACAGGTACAGTTACAGGCACCATCCGCAGCATGCATGCAAGTGCGTGGCTGACCTGCCGGCGCTTAACGGCAGAGCCCAGCCTAGCCAACAGCCAATCAGACCGCGGCATCCAGCACCATCACCGTCTGTGCCTGCGGTGGGCAGAGAGCATCGCGGGATCGTGATTGAGTGGTGACCGGGGTATTGTATAAGCGGTATTCAGGCGCGGGGAAGGTGATGCTAATTGCTTGTGGATGTAGGCGTGATCAACCACGATGTAATAGCGTAGTATGGAGTTCTCATGGGTGTCCTTTCTCGATACCTCTCGTAGTGTTGATGGATTTTCCTCTTGTGCCGACATACCTATATGGCCATATAGGCCTATGTTGTTCAATTGCATTAGACAATGGTGTATGTATTATAAGACATGCTTGTCTTTGGGCAAGTATTAAAGACGGCTCGCTAGAAGAGCCGGCAGCTAACGTTACTTCCCCAAGAAAATGTTATTTCTGTTGTATAGACCACTCGACCAAGTGAAGTGACCACTTCTCTTGCCGAAGTGTGTGCCGGTATATACATTCCCTAGTTCCACCCACAGTTTCACCTGTCTACGTAAAATGCTACCTCTCCCCAGGACTATCCCTAAGTAGAAATCTTTTGCGGTCAGAACAAGAGAAGCACCGCTAGCGATTAACAATAAGAGCCGTATGAGCGGAGAAAAACAATTTGAAGAATCGGAATATGTTGTTTAAACCTGTGGGTACAGATTATATCTACAGTGAATGAAAGTCTCACTACAAAAGAGCTCTTTAAGCAATGCGAAGAGAAACAAACGCTTTCAAGTTGGGTTTCAAGAAATGGTTAAATCCCTTCTTGCGAGACTGTAAGCATTGCGATGAAGTTAATTTTGTAGATTATGATATAGCAGTCATACATATTGTTGAAGTAACTAAGGTATCGGCCCAACTTACATTCTAATATTGTTACCATGAGACTGAAGTTACTTTGTAAAGACAGCTACATGTAGCAGCATGAACTGCTTGCCATGAACAAGATATGGAAAGCCCAAACTTGCTTTATCCAAGTCAATATCGTCTAGTCTTTCTTTGAATTAGTTAACAGATCAGTATCTTCTAATTTCGCCAATAGCGAGTGCAATGTGACTTGAGGAATAGACTTTGCTGCCATGGTGCACACTGATCCATTTGTTTCATCATCAGCGCGATTGGCGCAGACCTTGAAGCTAGATGATCCATCATACAGTTAGGTAGGCAAATAAAGTGCGAAGAGCTGTCGACTTCGGTCACATTTATTGAGTCGTCTTAGGTAGCTTGTTGTTCATATTTGGCAAGCACTTATAGTAGTATGTCCAGTCTGTACATGGACAACAGAGCAAGGGGACCCACGACCGTAATAGATGTACTCATAAAGATAGAAGTTTTGTAAAGCGCGGAAATACCTTTTCTGGTGGGAAAAGCGCAAGAATTTGTTCCCCCGCCTAATTGTGGTACAGTTGCTTCGACAGGCCAGAGAGGTATAGGTAAGTGACCACTGCAAGATACTAGTAGCCTAGAAGTCGAAATGTGCTTCTGGTCGCTACTTCACCAATTGCTCATCCAGAGAGCTATAAACTATGAATTTGTAAAGACTATCCATTCTTGGAACTTCATACTTGATGAAATCTTTTTCAGCAGAATATCCCGTTATTAAGAACTTTTGGCCGCAGTTGCTCGCACGCATGATACCCCAGCTTTTAGGAAGCTTCTTGTTTTATAGGTCAAACAGAATGCCTGGGGATACAGTCATAATTTTGGTATAGTTACACAATTGTGTTATCACTTTGTAGCAAAATTATTGACAAGCGCGAAAAGAGTATCTGCCTCATGGTTTTATTCGAAACAGGTATCGAAGAGACAGCACGCAAATAACGCGTCAATAGCTAAAGCCATGAATTATCATGAAGATATATAAGATAAAATGTAGCTAATATATGACTAGTCAGGAGACAAAAACCGTTATAACCACGTGCATATAACGGATTGCGTACTATGAGTCTAATTAGATAGGTCTCTATAAGAGAGCTACCGATGATGCAAATCGCATCGAGCATCTCAACCTTTTAGCGTAACATCACATATGCTGCTGAATTGATTCTATCAAGCAGTCTTCATTTAGTAATGGGAAATTGCTGCTGTGTTTTGTGTTTTCCTTCTGCTATTTGAGTATATGTCCTCAGACAATTGTTGAATGT